CGAGAACTGAAACTGTCGCTGCCTCGAGTGTACATACGCGCCACACATGGCAACTTTGATGCGTGAGAAGCCATGTACTAGACAAACACAAGTACAGTGTCTCTGAAAACATATTCATTTATTTACAGTTTCAATTGACAGAAGTTGGTCTTTCCATTAGCGTCGTGATTTGCTTTGACCTGTTTTAAACGACATACCTCATGGCATGTAGTGTCAAAATACTTGCCTGTCACACTGTACTGTGGTGCACTGTACCTACTCTCGTATGGACAAGGACTCGACAAATTCTCTGATTTATTGGGACGGAATCCAAATAAAGCAACTCTGGAAGTTGAATCGAGTTGAAGTTGAATTGGTTGTTTGCAAAAATTTCCACTAGATCTCGAGAGAGAGAAATGAGCACACATATAGCTAATGGGATATATCTTCAACTGGGTACAGCCTTCTGGGAATGGTTTTGAATAATTTTCATAGGCATTTTTGCAAAATTTGCACTTGAATTTTCGTGTTTCAATGCGTAAAGATGTCAGCGGGACCATTAGACAAACACAATTAGTGGGACGCAAAAGTGCTATTAGCTGGACTATGTACATGTATTTTATAAAATTCGATTCTGATGAGGGACACCGGCGGCACGGATATGCCGGAAGTGAGAGCAGACAGACAGAGATAGAGAGAGACATCCAATGCTGAGAGCCTAAAAGCCTGGCGGTCAATGCAATTACCGATGTGTGGTGCGGTTTGGCCTTTTGCTTTCAAACTCCAGCATCGAGGCTCCAGCATCCAGGCTCCAAGCTCCCATGTCAATAATCCGCGAAACCACGCAAAAGTTTGTAATACGATTTCGGTGGCTGTCAAAGGATGTTACAGCCCTCGGGAAGCACTAATTAGTCCTATACCCTGTGGGTGTGTGTGTGTCCTCGAGGCCTAAAAGCAGTTTTAATTGCCTGCAGGGACACACCGAGAGATAAAACGCCAGCACAGATAGAGCTCGAACTTTTTATTCCATACTTTTGCGTTCTGCTGCGTTTCCCCTTGGCTTGGACAACGCTCATGCTCATGCCCATGCTAGTTGCAGCTGGGGCAAGCAGAATCGGAGGTGAATGGGTAACAGAATGAATAGGCCGAGCCCGAACGCCCCGAATCCATGGAGGTTGCCATGGCTGCTGCGGCCCGCATTCTTGCCCGGCACAATGGCATTGTGGATGCCACTACTGCTGGCCGAGCCACCCGTGGAGTTCTTGAGGCGTCCGTTGTGACCGTTGCAGAGGTTCTGCTGACAGGAGCTGTAGTAGGTGCGGAAGGATCCGTCCGGCGTGTTTCCATTCGGCATCTGTCAAATGTCCGTATATAAGGTGCAGGAGAAAGGGATAGTTTGGGCAGGCTCCACTCACCATTGGCCTGTCCTGGCAGTCACGTAAAAAGGATATCACTTTGCTCGCATTGCGCTGAAAGAAAAGCAGAATGGTAGACAGCAATAAGGGTTGTGGAATCATCCACATGGGCTAACTTTTCGAGTGCCTGATAAATGATATTGCCAGGCATTCATCACAATTAGGCCTTCACTTGAATTTCGTTTATTGCCGTTCTCTGAATGGAATTTAAATTAAGATTTTTTGTACTAGGGGCAAGGGGCTTGCCTTCCACAGTTGCTCCCCCCATCCGATGCATCAGAGACATCTAGCAGAGACCAGAAGAGACCAGGGGGACGAGTCGCACAAACTTTTAATTGCCATGAAGCAAAGCAGTAAACAAACTGCATGGAATATGGACTCCTATATGCCTATATACTGTACCCTGAACTTTAAAGAATCGCAGCCTAATCCCAGCTAGACCATCGTCTTTGATGCCTCCCAAATTGAATCAGCAATTTTGGGGCATCTAATGAGGCGCCTGAAAATTTTAAAACTCATCTGGTTATGCAAACAGAACGGAGGGCTGAGGACTCGAGCAGCGACAACGTTGGCTTTGTGGGGCATGTAAGCCAGTTTAAGCCAGTGCCAGCGCCACAGCCAGCCTCAGACACTCCTCTGGGTGTCGCTGGTTGGGTGTGTGGGGGAGAGTGTCGCTGTGCCTGTGCCTCTATGTGGGGGCTGCTTTTTATACGCCTTTCTGGCTTTCCATTAAATTATGGTAATGGATTTTTTATGCAGTCTGTTTTTGGCTGCCTCCCTTCTTTTTTTGGGCTGGTTATTTTACTGTCGCGCACTCTTTGTGTTTGATTTGAGCTGCTTAGAGTGTGAAATTAAAGCGGGAAAAGCTTTCAATAGCACGAAAACAATCTAGGACTCGGACAGGATCCGAGGATGAGCACTCAACAGGGGCTCTCCGTCAAGTGCTTGACTTTGCATTTGATTGCAGCCAGGCCACACAAACAAAAGCACACAGCTGACACTCCTGGCCAGCCACAGACAGATGTCAGACATTGCTCATACGCCGCGTGGCCACGCGTGGGCCAGGCCAGGTCTGAATTCAATTAGTTGGAGTATCATGGCTCTGCCACAGGCAGGAGCTAGTTAATGGTCGCTTTCTTTTGCACTGGGCTTGCTGGGGCCTGCCCTGCTCTACGTGAGAGTCGCTAATTTCAGCAGGAACAAAACTATCGCAATGGCAACATTTTTCAACAAAGTTGTAGCGGTGCATAAAAATCAGGCATTCCATGTACTACTTTGTTGCCGTGCCCCAACAGCTACAACTGTGTGCGCGGGAGGGTGCTGTGCTGCCAGCATACGTGAAGAGTTAAACGCCAGGCAATGGCCGTGGCGGCCATGTCTGGAAACATTTGCGGCACGTTCCGCACCGACTTTTTACGACCATTTCGAAAAGGACTCACGCTCAGGGAAAACCGACGTCTGCCAGCACGTTTCCGAAACTAGATCTGCGAATCTAGCTCTAGATCTATTGATACGATACCAAAAAGTGGAAATGGTATTAAATGAAGGAAAGTCTATAGTCTTACAATCGACTCCTGCCGCATCGTGAGGCAGTACTTCTTGTGACAGTTGAGAACCTTGACGGCACTGGCGTTCCTTACACAGGAGTCATCACTGTAGCCGTCCAAATAGGTGCAAACATAGCATTCGAGTGCTGCAAGAGAGGGAGAGAGATAGTGAGAGAGCGAGAGAGAGAGACATAGAGAATATTGAACGAGGTCATGACGCTGCTCTGCCTTTCGCTTTCGTTTCGTTGTTTTTCAATATGATGTATATTTAGTATATTCGAATGTGTTTTTGCTGATCATCATCACGATCATCATTTGTGCATGTTGTCGCTGTGCTTTTCTTAGAATTTATTAATAGCCCCAGCGGCCGCAACAACAACAAGCATGAGCATCTATAAAAACACAATAATTAATTGAATTAAAGTGAGAATTTTGGCAGCAGACTTTCTGTCTGTTTGCCAAGTGGCACGACAACGTCCTCGACATGTATCGCCCGTACCCACCCCCCACCCCCCACAAACTCGCATGCAAAGATCTATTCTAAATTCGAATCCGCCTTTTTGTGTAATAACAATGACGTCAATGGGCCCCCCACCCCACTACACCCCAGAGATTTGTAAACGGACCGATGACACGAGACTCTTGGCATCACTCTCTGGCCCAAAAGTCTTTGGGGCGCCCTCGGGGACCAAATCAAATCCTCCACAATTACCAAGAATTGCGCTGTCTACTCTCGCTATTTCTGTAGAGATTTTGCATTTTGAGTTCTGCATAAAACTTGATTCTTGGCACACTTCGCTTCGGTTCGCGGTATCCGAAAGATAGGCAATTATATCACCTCGGACACGGGCATCGCCACGGCCACAGTGGGCTCAAATCAGGCAACATTTGAGTATTAGTTATATGATATTTGCTATAGATAAGGAACATTGTAAAGTAATATAAATCAAAAGACCTAACTATGTTTGCAGTAGATAGGGCAGATAATAGATAAATGCACCGCAGAGTGCATTGCTTAGTGGAATTCCAATAGGTTGTTCCTGTGGTTCAAATAATAGACACTGCCCCACTGTACAGCTCTGCACTCGGAGATCTTTGAGAAATGATTTGTATCATCTTTTGTGTGGCAATCAATAAATTTGAATGCGGCCACAGGCGAGTGACGTCGACAGCTGAACTCAACAACAGAAGAGACCAGCACGGAGCTGACCAGAAAAAGAAATGAACTGAACGGAATTGTGCGTTTTTCCCAAAAGTGTATGAATAGAAATGGCATGGGAGGGATGGCAAAGTTCTGTTGAATCAATTGGAGGTCCCCTGTCCGTGTCGAGAGCGATCCATGAGTATGCCAATCGTGCCAAGAACATTTCAAAATTCACCTGATTTTTCTCGCTAAACTCGGGGACGGTGACTTATGAGTCGTTGAACACTATATTTCGCCATAAAACAGCTAATTTAGTTCTACAGAAAACGAGCTGCTAAGTGAACACTCGAGAATGATTTCGGTTGTTGTTGTTCGATGATGATGGTGGGGGCTATGATTATGATGGGTTTGCTGTCGGTTGAGTAAGGTTAGGTTTGCTTTCGGGGAAACCCCTCCAGCAGGCGGGTGGACGAACCGTTTGTGAGGGCCAGCGACAGTAAGGCGACGCAGAGCCCCATCACGAGGGGGGCTTTAGACACTCCACACATCTTTTCCATACCGATGCCGATGACACGCTTTGTGAGCTCCGCTTTGACTTCTATTGGTTTCCGGCTCTGACTGTTCGAAGCGCCTTTCTTGACGGCTGCGACGGCGTTGCGCGTTGGCATTTGCCACTTGACTGACTCGAGCGGAGTTCGATTGCTGTCCGAGATGATTGACACTTGAATGATGTTTGCCCATTCGCGATACACAATAAACATCAGTACTCAACACATGCTACACCTTACACACACACGTATGGAACATATCTTATCGGGTTTCCGATAAAGAACTCTTGTTTCCCTTCCTCTGAATGCAACTCGACTTGAACTGTAATTATGGGAAAACGTTTCTCTTGTTTCGTGTCGTTTGCAGCCTGACCGCTATGTGCCCGGCTCCCCCATTTTTCGCGACAGCAGTCCAGCGCGCCCCGCCACCTCAGCCTCAGGGGCGCCTATAACAGCTGCGCCTGCCCCGACCACGTCCAGGAGCCGCACCAAAGGTACGTACCAGACTCATTTTCTCCCTCATTTTCTAGTTGACACACTTTTCGCGACATTCGGATTCGGGTAAATAATGTACAGCGAAAATATGCAAATGGCTGAGGCCATATCATTTCCGGCTCCTGTCAAACTTTCTGCGATTTTTGGGCCAAGTCTTCGCCAGAATCGACCTCTTTTCTGGCACTCGGGTTTCTTGACCTTTGACTGCCGCCGCTTGGTATTTGGGTTACCGGGTCGTTATGGAAACCCAGGGGGTTCTCAACGGTTGCCTTTCCATCTTCCATTCGCTTTTCTTGTGACTAATTTATATATTTTAAATTTGCAATTTCTTCTACTTGAAAGAGTGCAAAACGTTATAAATATATCAGAGGTGGGAAATACTTGCTTTCTATTGAAAACCTTTTTGGAATCTCATTGATACCGCAATCGGATAAACAACAACAGGAGCGACGTCCACTTCCCGCATCAATTAATTGTGGAATGGAATTCGATTATTATTATCTCAATGCTGTTTGATTGTTGGCTGTGTTTCCACGAAAATGTTGCTTTGTTTACGTGCAAAAATCCACCATGCCCCTCTCTCTCTCTCTCTGGGAACCGGGAAAGTCCCCAGCGGATATTGCAAGCCCCGCCCTAGCCCCAGCCCTCCACATGGAATATAATCGAGCAACCCCTACTGCGACTGAGTCACTTAATGGAGCAACATGTGAGCGACAAATGGGTGGCTGGGGCTGGCAGGGAGGCGCCTCTGTCACGCCATAGTTTATCGATTATATTTGTTGATTTAGGACCCCCAAGGGACAATCGGCTGGCTGTTCTTGTGGCCAATTCAGACGAATGGTGGCCTTTTGATGGGCTTTACTGATAGGCAGCGGTGAGGTCAGCCGTGTTTGCTTGTGCGATTACTATACCAAGAGCATTGCTGCCAGACGGAAGCAATCTGGGAGCCAACTTGGAAGCAGAGACCGCAACTTGACTTGAACTTGACTTAAACTCCCGTTTGATCTCTATCTCTTTCTCGCTCTATCTCTCCCCGTAGCCATGACGGCGGCCGTAACGAATGCAGCACAGGGCAGAGGAACCAACAGCAATTCCAACGCCATTAAATCCAGGCCGCCCGCCTGCTACATGAGCACCCGATCGGCTGCCATGATGGCCCTGACTCTGGGCCAGACATCGGGGGGCAGCTCCAACGTGAAATCCTCGTCCGCCCAACAAACTTCCACTCCCGTTCTGGCCCAGGCCGTGTCCAGTCCGAGCTCATCGCCGCGTCCCACCAACAGGAACGTCCCGAATGTGGCTTCACCAACCAGCAGCGCGTCCAGGTCGAAGCCATCCACCCCAACGGCAACGCGGGCAGCAGTGGCCGCAGCTCTGAACGGCGGTGGAATCTTCTCCGGCGGCAGCAACTCCAGCGGGTCGGACAACGATGGCTTCAGTACTTCCGGCTCGTCGACGGCCACGGCTCTGCGGCGGCTATACTTTAAGAGCGGTCGCAGCATCAAGAACAAGATAAATGCCTCGACATCCTCGTCGTCAGCGACGCCACTGAACGGTCTGGCCCTGAATCCCGTGTCCAGTGCCTACCACAATTCCGTGAGTGGATGCGGACCGGCGATGCATAGCGTGGGCGTGGGAGGTGGGGTGCCCAAGGTGAGTGCTAAAAATCCCTTTGTAGACCTCATGTGACGTGGGTCTCCTTGCATGCCTTGCAGCTGGTGGTGATGGGCACATCGTCGGCCTCTATTCCGGACACCAACATCAATACGTCCACAGACTCGGCCAGCACTCTCATCACGAACGTAACCCACACGGACACCTCGGAGACGTGCGATTCCCTGGACTTGGGTATGTATTGATTGGTTGATGGATGTCCGGGCCACAGCCACAGCCAGAGCTGCAGCTAGAGCTCGTTTAATTAATCAACTAATCAATCTGCTCCCCGTCTCCAACTCAACCCTGTTTTTGCATCTTTTGTTGTATGCTCTCCTTCGACTAGGCGACAACTCTGGTCCCAGTGAGCCGCTATTCAGTTCCCTGGAGGAGCCCCTGCTCACCGCCATTCAAATCGATTCCGAGCACGAGACGGGCGGCTGTGGTTCTGCTAATGGACGCAGAGGCGTCGGCACTGAGCTGGAACTAACGAGCTGCTCGCGCTATCCGCCGAGGCCCGACATGAATCTGCAGGACAGCACAGAGGTGAGGACAGGGATTCATTAGGATTCAACAGACTGATTTAATGGTCGTGTGCCATTTTTCATGGATTATTTGAAGAGTACTCCCGTTCCTGTTCTTTGTTTAAACAGGCTTTCTTTAATTGCGATTGTGAAGAACATAATATTTTCCAATTATTGCGATTTACAACACTCTTTCTCCAAACCTTTTGCAACACTGAATCAGCTTAACAAATGTCTCTGTTTTGGCACTTTCCTTTTTTTTGCAGAGCCAAGAATCCTGTTTATCCATCCTGACTGGCGACCAATCGTCCACCACTCCACTGCTCTCGTCACAGCGGCGCCAAGCGGCGGGTGGCCACTCACCCGGCAGCCGGAGGGAGGAGCGACAGCCCAGCACGGCGCCTCCGCCGACACGGGCCCGGGACCACTTCACCTTCGATCCCCCGCTGTCGCCCAAGTCGGCGCGCAGCAGCGAGAAGGCCCGCAGTCACTTCCCATTCAAGGACGAGCCCCGAGCACAGGCGCAGGCACAAGCACAAGCACAGCAGACGCGGCGCGGCTACAACTCGCACAACGCGGGATCCACCAACGGAGCAGCGGGAAAAGGAGTTGGAGCCGGAACGGAGGGAGGAATTGGACCCGGAGGTGGTGGGGGTCGCACTGTGGCAGCTAGCGAGGGCGATGAGGAGGATGACGAGCGGAGCGGGGCAAGCGCCGCCAATCGCAACAAGAAGCTTCGGCCCAGGGAGCGCGACCCAAATGCTAATGACAGCTCTCGAACATACATATCCCCCGGAGTTTCGCCATCGAACAGCCGGCGCAGCAGCCCCAAGCGGGAGAAGAAGCGTACCACACCCTCCGCCTCCACGGGCGCCATCGCCAAGGTCAGCTCGGCGCCGCCCACGACGAAGGATGGGCACTTTTTCAGCGCATCTGGCAAGCAACAGCACCAGAACCAGCGGCAGACCCCGCAGCAGCTGTCGCCCTCGTCCTCGATGAGTGCCCAGCAGAGGAAGTACTCCTCGAGCTCCTCCAGCGGGAGCAGCGAGCGCTGTCTGCGCGAGCTGGCGGCGGCGCCGGGCACCATGTTTCCCTTCGACCGGGAGGCCCTGGACCACGAGAGAATCCAGAGGGAGTGCTTTGCCCGCAGCTCGTCGACGGCCAGCGCCAGCAGCGACTCGGACGAGGCGGAGAACCGTTCGGTGTACGAGCGGAAGCTGGGGGCAGACATTTTCCAGCAGTACTCGCGGCTCACCCAACAAGAGCAGCTGCAGCAGCAGCAACAGCAACGGGAGTGGGAGAGGGACCGACCACCATCCCGGAAGAACTCGAAGCGTATCCGGCCGGACTCGGTGATCCACACGACCATCCGGGAGAACCAGCAGTATGTGCCGCAGTCGGACGCCTTCTACCCCCAGGCCAAATCCTCCTCCTCGCCCAGCGACCACTCCTACGCGGAGCTGAACAAGTTCGACGACATAGCCAACAAGTTTGAGCAGATCCCGCCCAAGCACGGCTCCAGCTCCACCCTCAACCTGCACATGCCCAGTCCGGGCAGCGATTCCGGCCAGCAGGCCCTCAGTCCAACGACGGACGCCACCCGAAAGCGCTCCTTCAAGAGCAAGTCGAAGAACAGACCGAAGGGGGATTACGGTTTCCAGTTGGAGGAGCGTGGCGCCGGGCCCATCAATGTGACCGCCAATCCCATGGAGGCGGCTGCTGTCTGCAAGCAGCCACGCGCCACCATCGTTGTCCAACAAGTACGTACATTATACCCGTATAGTCCCTTATACCCATACCCGTAATTCCCGTATGAGTAAATATATGAGTGGAAAGCGGAAAACTCTCTTTTGTTCTCCAGCTCCGTTCTGTCTTCGTTCGCCGCTCGCTGTTTATCGGCACGGTCTGCTTTTGTTTGCTCTCACTCTCTCCCAATTTCCCTGGTCGCTCTATCTCTCTCTCTCTCTCAGTGTATCTTTGTATCTACGTATCTGTTCTCTCTGGCCGATGTTGGCAGCTCATAAAAACGACGCGCAGGCGGCGATCGAATCAGTAAAGCAAAGCAACGGTAAAGCAACGCATCGTCTGGCATCGTAACGGAAGAAGCATTTAATCGCTGCGTAGTATCGATTACATATCGTGTTTTTTATCGGTTTCTTGTTATTCAGTGAAGCATCTATCAAATCTCCTGCTCATAACTAATCTAGTCGCAATCTGTTCGCTATGTAAACGCTGTGCCTTCAAAGAGACAATATCAGAACGCAGATAATTTATCCACTTACACAAGCATTCGACCAACTGTGGTGACACCATAAAGCCGGTTCCCGTTCTACATAGAATCCCAACAAAGTGTTCCCGTGAATCATGGCGCCCTTCTACAAGCGCATCTGCCGCAGCCTGTCCAAACGGTGCAAGGAGGTAACTACTAGTAAACCATATAGACAGTCGTAAATCCCCGACACGTCGGGGCCACCAGGTTGATTGATTTTGCTAACGAGTTAACAACGACCAACGAGGAGGTCTATGGGGCATCACCGCCCAGATAAGATAGTAGCTTTTGGTGCCCTGATCCTGGCAAACAACACCCCCGATATGCGCAGATTTATCGCCAGCCTACCCCACGCTGCTCTGACGTCAATTTGACAATCAATTTGTGCGCTGCTCTCTGCTTGGGCCTCTGATACGAGTAGTAGAGATTGTCATTGGCTCCACGGCCCACACGAAATTGATTAACCTAGAGATTCATACCCGGTACATGATGCATAGGAGGGGGGAGCCTTCCGCCTTCCACCTCCCGTACCATAATTATTATTTCATAATTTCCACTCCGAGTGAAATTCATTCAGTCCGAGCTCCTGGCCCACAATCGGTTCGTCATAAATAATTTAAATGTTGCAAGTGACAGGCAAAATATTTGCATGGGTACTACGCGTATATTCACTGTATTATATTGTCCATCTCGTGCGCGCCGCCAGATGACAGCTGTCAAAATAAACTACGGCAACGGAACGCGGGAGGCACAGTTGCCCAGTTCTCTATAGAGTCCGATATCGGCTGGGCACACAGGTTGTTTTTGCTTTATTTATTTACTTGTTTAAATCAGATAATAAAAACATAAAAGCAAAGGCCGCCAGCTGGAAAGGCCGAAGGGGGGCCGGAGAACTTGTCATAGACATGGACCCAGACACAGATGCTCGTACGAGATGCTGTGCATAAATGTAGATATAGGTTTAACGATTTCATTGTAATCCTCAGTGAGTTAGCATATTGTTCCGAGAACTTTTGTCCATGTTTTTGTTGTACTATGTGCAGTACGAGTGTATCGCAAATGATGCATAAAGAGGGAATCATCATCTGGGCCATGTATCTACAGGATATATGTAGCCACTGAAAGATTATAGATGTTCGGCTCGAAAGCATTTCCTGGTGCACAAACAGACAACAACAACATCATCTATATACATATATATATATATATATTACGTATATAAAACAGAGGAAGGGAAATTATTGCGAGAAGAACAAATGAGTATTCCTCCAAAGCGAGGCAGACGAAGGCACGTCCGGAGCAGATACTATTCCATTGAACTGTGGAGGCGCTTTCCTCTATTAATAACCCCCCTCCCCAGCCTTCAATTAGGTGTAAACTGTAATTGTTTCTCACTCGAATCGATAGCCCCAGCGAACTTATATATGTATGTATATATCTACATAAATTTCTGGGGTCCCATTCGATTTTTATGCCATCTATCTTGTGGGCCCCGTGCCCCGCTACCCGCAACGAATCTGTTGTAGTCTTTGGCGAATTATTAGCAGGCACGCACCTCTATAGAGTGCAGCCTTGTGCCATGGGGGAACCGCCACCTTCGCCGCACCCTCCTGGCTCCTCACGGTGGAAATGCCACCTTCAGCGTAAACATCGGGCGGCAGGCGAAAACATGCTTTCAGTTCAGTTTTCCCATTGTCGGATTTGTTGTTTCCTATTGATTTTACATTGAGTGGTCAGAGGCTTCCTTTGAGTGCAGCAGGCAGATGTGGAAATGGAAATGGAAGTGCCAGTGCGCCAGTGGCAGTGCATTTGTGTGGGCCTTGGCTGCCACGCGACTGTTGCAAAACAAAACATGTTTGCCTTGTTTTGTGTCCTTGCTGCGGACTAAGTTTCCACCTGCCACCTCCACAAATTTCAATCAGAAACGCAAACGGAAATCCAAAACATTTTCCATAGATGTTCGACCATTAATTGCCCATAAATTGTATCATCGATTTTCCTGCGATTTCCCTTTGATATTGGCTGCCGCAACCTTCAAAGGTCAATACTTTTAGCATTTTTTGCCACTTTCACTTAGCGCCGGGGCCATTCACTCCTGCGAGCATTAGTTGGGGCAGAGAGCCGCATCATTGTTAAATGATAAATGGCCAAAACGGTTATTGACTCTGCCCAGCCGCAGACGGCCCTGCCAGGGCCACCCCATCGGCTAATTATAACGCGAAATATGCCAAAAAAAATATTAGAAAGTTCAGCAACTTAGACCAAGTGGTGGGCTGTGGCCAAGGAGTCGATTAGGCTCACCTCAACCTTAGCGCAGGGGTACTTTGAACTCGCTAATTGCCCCCCGTTGAATGCTGCGTATACTTGATAATGATTTGATTCCCCTGGTGGGTCAGCGCCAGCCCCCAGGGGGGATGGGGTTAATCGTCTGCTTTTGAGGGCAGTGGGTCTCTGTCTCTGGGCGGCTTCATTGCAGCCATTATCATTATCATTATACCGGAGGCCAATTGGCTTGTAAGTGTCATTTATTGGCTGATTTATGGACCTGCCCCGGCACCGGCACCGGCACCGGCACCAGCACCAGCACCGTCACCTGCCTCTCTGCCACAGCTTCTTTGACGGTGGATTCGGATTCATTGACCCCATTCGAGATGGCGAAGGCTGCTGCATTTGCTGCAGTTGCATTTCTCTTCAGTTGCAGCCATAAATAAACCTTTGCTATAAATAAACACCAAAGCATATACGAGTACGAGTATATATATAGAGAGAGGATAAATGCAGCTATACGCGTATCTTTAAAAATATATTCTAGCTGTAAATTGCATTGCATTGCATTGCGGTTGTTGTTTTTGTTCTGTTCTTGTTATTGTCCATCTGCCGGGCATGCCAAAAATAATCATCCCCACACACGGAAAGCGTTCCAAGATATGCGAATAGTTTTCTCCAGGAAGGTTATTTACCTGAGGCACGCCAGAGATGTTGCATCTTGCATGCACCTCCGGCCATGCGGCAGCCACGTGAACGATTTGTGGGGGGAATATTTTAACGTGAAAAACCTCTGGGGGTAATATTTCACTTTGATTCAGGGAAGAGTCCATCAATCCGCTGTATACAACAATGTTTGCGTTTAATGGGGGAATTCTTCTGTTTGGGATTATGGAAATTTAACCGATGCGAGTCGGCCACACAAACTTTTTACAAATCGCTGGGCCGGCCCCCAACAGGCTTCTTTTCGGAGCAGTTTTTTTTTGATTATTTTTAATATTCGTGCGGCATGAAAATAGCCAGAAAACCTGCCCCCACACTCGTTCCTTTGGCCGGATTTCACAGGCGATTGAACACAGAACGGCGTAAAATGGACGAAAAAAAAAACATAACCTGAGAAGTGATTTGCATGCATGGCGCTCTTGGGCTGGGGCTGTGTGCGAGATTATTTTTAATACATATTTAGCAAACTAAATGTATTTTTAAACGATGCAAACAATGGCCACAGTGCCACCCGGGGGGGCGGGATCGATCGGGTGTGAAATGAGTGCTGGCAGCAGCTCCGCACCGTTCCGCACCGGTCCGCACCGTCCTGCCCCTACAAAATCTATTCTAATTTATGCAAACGATTCGCATAGCTAAGGCTGGAGGCTAAGGCTGCTGCCGGTGCATCTGGCTGGAAGGCTATTCCATTCGATTTGATTTGATTTGATTTGCAATGTGCAATTTGCATTCCGCATAAACAGAGATAAACACTCGATAACCAATTGCATTCCTATCTGGCTACTCCACGAATGGTTAAAATGTTTAAATGTACGCCATTCCAGCCATTCCTGCCACTCCTGCCACTCTGCACGTAGGCCAGGCCTTTGACAATCAAAATCCGTTCCTCCAAAACTACACAGAACCAGAATATTCGTTCACTTTCGTGGGATTCTTTCACTGAATTGCTCCGCTTAACATTTTATTTGTCTGCTTTTTGGGCAAATGCTTAACATTTTCCTAACACCTCGCCTCGGTTTGCTTTTTAATGGCCAATTCGAAAGCGTTAGCACTGCGTAGTTTTCCCACGACGAGGAGAGGGGAGCTGGTCGGATAATCCCGCTCCCGAAAAAGCTAAAGAAAAGGGAATCCTACTGACTAGTGGATACCCCCCATTCAAGTGCCACACTGTGAAATCTTTCAGGTGATTATTTGGTTGCTTTTTCAGAGCTCCTTCAATGTAGTGCACTCCGAGAACTGTGTTCAGCCAAGAGCTACCCTAGAACTTATGCCCTTTATTTGTGCTGTACCTGCTTCTTCGGGGTTTGATTGCTGTTTCTGTTTGTGGCAACTCTTTTCAACTTATTTCCTTCCACCCGTTGCAATCTGCTGCTAACACCCAGAAATATCAAGAAGAAAAAAAGAACAGAAACGATACGGACGCACTCGGCGATGCACGAAAAACTATTTTCGGTGCTTGTGTAATGGGGAAAATGGGAAATGGCAGCCGCAAGAAAGAGCTCAAAGAAAAAGAGCAACGTCATCAGCAGCAGCAGCATGACCGAAACAAAATTACTCATACGACGCGTGTAACGAGGGGTGTCGCGAGGGGAAATCGAATACAGGGGCACGGCAACGGGAACGAAGCCCACTCTTGGCTGATGTCGTCATCAGTGAAAGTGTCGCCCCCCTCTCAGCATCGCCAAATAGCTCCCTCGGGCAGATTTAGCCGAAAACTTTCTCTTGAGGCCACTTAAAATATTTATTTCGTTTTGGATTCTCCCGAATGCTGGGGGCACAATCGAAAGGTGTAGGCAAGCGGAATCATTACGGCCACACACACACATATATGTATATATATTTATACTGGCATTATTAATTAGCGGTTGTGGGAAATGCAGGCAAAGTTTTGCCTTTTCCCAGTCTCCCTTTGTGTCAGGCCTGCCAATAAAATATACAAATTAATTTCGGCATTAGCCAAATAAATATACATATGTATGTATGTGTATATACGGGCATGTCTGTGGGCAGCCAGGTAGCATTTTCCTCCCAGTTTCGGTGTAATTTATGGTCAAAGTTTTTCTGCCCGCTCGAATTTCTTGATAATTTAACCTTGCCGAAATTTATTCGTTTGCGCCCATAAATGATTACCCTCCGACAGACAGGCATATTTAAAGCCGCACTTGGAGGCAGATTTTGTAACAAACTGGAACATTCATTGGGACACGGACGGGGCTGGCGGAGAAACATTAGCAGCAGTTCATTAGGAGTGCTATATTGGCCCTCATTAGACCTCGAGCGGTGGGACCTTGCCCAGCGGTTTATTGGGTCGTTGAGGTGGGGGCAGTTGGCGGCAGTTTGCCTCGACACGAATGGCGAAAAAATTTGAATTTGCAACTGCAGACACGCAATGCAGGTCCTATCCAGGGCCCATTCAAGGTGTGGATAAAGAAAAACTTTGAAATCAGAAAACAAGCAAGCCCTTGAGTGGCGCTAGAGTTAGTCCTTGGTCCGTCCGAGTGTTGCAAGTAGCGGAAATTCATAAGCTTATAAGAGGCTACTCAATAGAATCACTCGGCCATGAGTACTTGAGGGAATGCTACTCGTGCTCAATTGGTGCAATCCGCTTAACAATATCTTCACCACTTTCCCTCTCCCCCGCAGCCATCTCTGAGCCTGGACAGCACCGTGGAGACCCTGCTGATCAAGAACGAGGGCGATTTCATCAGCGTGGAGCAGGGCAAGGAGCTGAATGCCCGCAAACGCAACTCCCAACAACTGGCCCATGCCCCCACCCACAGTCATCATCATCACAGCCATCACCAGCAGCAGGAGCAGCAGCATCAACAGCATCAACAGCAGAAGCAGCAGCAGCACCACCATCATCCGCAGCAGCACAAGCGGGACGAGAACATGAGGCAGCTGCTGGATGTGACCAATACGCTCACCATTGAGGAGCTGCGCGACTTTGAAATGCGGTAAGCCCATAAGGAGACCTCCAATTTCCCAAAAGATTACGTTTTATGGTCCGGCTCGAGATTTAATTTCCGATTGCCGTCGATTTTCAAGGGCTCTCCCGTTAAACGCTCGGACCAAAGTAATCAAAAATCCGTACGAGCACCGCCAACAAAGAGAACTCTTTGGCTTTTATGGCCTTCACCTGGCAGCCATTTTGCAACATACACATTGAAGATCCCGTAACAAATCGCATAACGCATTCGACCTGTTGCCAGTTGCCAGTTGACGCACGCTGCACTCGCATTCAGCTTTTACATGTGCATTCCTACATTCCAATTCTGATGAATTTTATTTGCGAATTTAGAATTTTGTTCAATTTCCATTCCCTCTCAAATGTCTCTGGATAAACAAACAAATACATTTCTGACGCCCGCGCGTGGCCACAGCTCCGCTCCTGTAGTTGATTGTCATGTCGCGAAATATTCGAATATTCGAATATTTATATCCCCCCCTGGAAACGCTGTCGGTGAATGAACATATTTCCATTCTCGACAGCGGGCGTCGCCTTGTGGCTGTCGTGTGGTCAGCCCCAAAACCATACAAAGAGCCTTGCCAAGAACACTCCAGGTATTTCCTTTCCGCAAGGACATGTCAGTTGCAGTGCAACATTGGGTGTTGAGGGGATGAAAATATCTATTTTGATAGCAGCAGGGGACATTTGCATTGTCTTGACGATGACAGTTCTAATGCAATTAAAAGCAGGAGCTTCGACTAAAGTTTACAATCGCTTTTCCTTTATTTTATTATGGTGTCCTTTTTATCCGACTTTAGCTACGGCTCGCCCCATCACAGCCGCTCCCAGTCGGTGAAGATGCCCGGCAGTCGCGCCTCCGGCAGGCCCAATCAGCTATGTCTCCCCCAACAGAGATCCAGGTAAGATTCGGCGAGCCAGAGAAGTCTGCAACTGGAGCTATTAACCATTCCCCCGCCCCTTGCAGAGTGGCTTCCATGCCCAACACTGGTGTCGAGGAGGAGTACTACCGCCTGCGCCACTTCTCCATCACGGGCAAGGGTGTGGTGAACCGCGGCGACTCGCTCAAGAGCCGCCGCAGCCGCTCCAACAACAGTGTGGCAAGCTCGAATTCCAGCACAGAGCACTTGACCGCCCAGCAGCAGCAGCTACAGCTGCAGCAGCAGCAACAGCAACAGATACAGCAGCTGCCTGCCCCCACCTCCAGCTCTGCCAGAACATCGCTCGCCTCCAGCCGGGAGAGCAGCACCTCCAATCCGGGCAACGGGCCATACAGGTGAGTTTCACTTGCCCGAAAAGGCATGGCATTCACTTACGGGCAAAGGCTAAAGCTTTCCGTTTCTGGTTGCAGGGTACTCATGCTGGGGGGTCCGGCCGTGGGCAAGAGTTCGCTGGTCTCGCAGTTCATGACGTCGGAGTATCTGCACGCCTACGACACGAGCATCGGTGAGTGCCACAAGGTGGAAAAGTGCCGTCCAGATCATAGCCCTGCCCACACCACATAGCCCCGTCATCACGCTGTGCCCGTCCATCTATCAGTCTGTCTGTCTGTCTGTATCTGTGTCTGTGTCTGTGTCCCGTCTTCTCCCGTAATCCCAGACTTCAGTTCATTCTGTGACTCATTCGCTGTCATGGCGCCTGCTCCTGCTGCTGTTCTTCTTGTGGTTGTCCCCATCCTGGATGTTGTCAATGTTGTGTTTGTTGCTTTTTCAGTTTCATTATCTGTTGATTTTGCTTCTTTGTTGTCTCGTAGCTATTTCGGGTTCTTAGTTTGGATATTTGCCCCCGTGTTTTCATCTATTCGTTTCCGTTCGGTTCTGTTTGGTTACGTTGGGCTTTCTGGCCTTTTATGAGCGCGTAGGGTCAACAGATATTGGCAAAGAGCTGCAATGAAAATAAATTCTCTTCATTTTGGAAAATTTTGCAAATCAAAAAGTGGATGGAAATGTGTTCCATTCTCTAACAGAGAGTGTGGGAAAATTCCAATAAACATTTCCATTGGCAACCAAAAAAAATAAGAAATTTAACAATAAAGACAGAATCAATAAAAGCGACTGACAAACGAATGGAAAATTTAATAATTTCAAATCTGAATTTGCCTTTGCGCCCCCCCACGCCCCACCCCCTCCTGCCTTGTCGTTTGTCGTTTCCTAGAAAAAAAGAGAAAAAAGAATGCAACAAATTGAAATGGAAACTCCTTTTGTTTTGGTTCGTTTTATTGCCTATTTCCTCGGTATAGAAACCGAATGCTTGATAGAAACACCGAAACCCAACACTGAACTATTTTCATATGCAATATGCAATGTATGTATGTACGTATGGTTATAAAGAAATGATCATTTCTGCTCTGTTTCTCTTCATTCCGAATCAATTAATGTATGTATCATTCCAAATCGATTCTCTCTATCAAAACTCGAACAACAACAACAACTATAACAACAACTACAACTCTGTACATACAACAACTAAATCGAAATCGAAATCGTGCTCGAAATAAGATCTAGGCAACTGTGATATACGCATTCATATTGATAAAGCCGCCGACGGTAAAAGCAAACTAACCAACTGATTAATAAACCATAATAATAGCAATAATAACTCTATTAATAATAGCGATAATCATGTTAATAGTACTCTTTAATATTCAACTTATTCAAATATTTCTATACTTACTATATATGTATGTAATCGAAATGCTTTTCAACTCTCCAAAATACACATTTTTCTTACCACAAAACTACCACTGCAATTTGGCCTTCTTAAGACTCCCACCCGCCAGCCCCTCAAGCCCGCCCACCAGCCACGCCCTACGAATTAGACACACACGCACAACACACACACACAAACACACGTTTAGTTAGTTGGATGGTTTTCCGGCTTTTCCAATTGTTTGTCAAATGATTGCGGCCTTTGTTTGACTTGTGATTTATGTGCCTGGCTCGGCCTTGAGGATTTCCACCGCCACCCCCCCGAAATAGGAATGATTTTGCATAATCACTAATTAATAAAGATTGGGTCAACAGTGGGGCTTAGTTGTGGCTTATCGATCGCCTAAACTAATTAAATTTGTATGCAATTCAGTTTCGAAAGCTGAACAACTTAATGGTATATTATTATTTTTTTAATGAATAATAATAATGGGGAAAGCACTCACTGAACAGCGTACGAGTACTCACAACCGCAGTGCACACAGACACACCTCTTCGGTCCTGCATCGCATTTGCAATTTGGGACCAATCGAACCACCACATAAAATAGCATACTTTTTGGGGCACGGCACTGCGCTCGGGGACGTGCAAAATAAAATTCTTTTTTGTTTGTTGGCATGCATACTCGTACTCGTACTCGTACTGTATATTGAAAACCAGCATATTCCTTTTGTTATTGCACTTTCACATTAGCTGTTGCATACCCGTATCATAATCATAGCTTGACATTTGACTAAAACCTATTTCCACCGCTATACGAACTTGACGAGTGTTGGCATTGCTTTGATATTAATTCAAATTTATTTATTTGCATACATGTAGATGATGAGTCTGGCGAGAAGGCCGTATCAGTATTACTCAGTGGCGAGGAATCGGAATTGATATTCATCGACCATGGATACACCGAAATGACTGTGAGTATATCCACTCAACCTCCAAATCCACCTCAACCCTTTCAATCCAGTCCAGACCGGTCCCCTCCTTACTCCTCAGTCCTCTATCCACCCATCCGTCCACTCTATTCGTGACATTTCATAATGTCATTAACATGCACAGCCATGGAGTAACCCTCACAGCGATACAAACAGCTACAGCTACAGCTACAGCTACACACAGATACAACATACAGATACAGCACTCTCTAAATATTATATACATACATATAAAGCTTTTAACTCAACCTCACTCAATGTCATTTCGGTGTCATCTCGTTTCACAGCCGGATGAGTGCTTGACCAACTATGATCCTCATGGCTACTGCGTCATATACTCGGCTGCAGACCGTAGCAGCTTCACCGTGGCGGAGCAGGTGCTCCAGGTGCTCTGGACCAATCAGAACATTGCGCAGAAAGCAGTCATATTGGTGTCGAACAAATCGGACCTGGCCAGGAGTCGACTGGTTACATCTGAAGGTAGGTGACATCATGCGAGTACACATATACATATGTTTGTATACATATGGAAGCGTGTTAAGGTGGAGAAACCGAAACCCGGAGATTTATCTCTTCATTAACACTTGAAAGCGCGCTCGATTGCGTTTGTTAAAAATAGATATCGATGTAGTCAGTGCGTGGGTCCATGGGTCCATGGGTCCATGGGGTACGAGACACAGCCAGAGGAGGTGGCGACAGTTGGACAGCTTAAAAGTTTGCCCACGCGGAAGTCAACAGGCAGCGGGTCCACCTACCCAAACACCCAGCAGCGATTTAAGTGGGGAAAGCCCCTCGTTTGAAGGTCGCTCCGCTCTGCTCCGTTTCGTTCCGTTTTGTGTGCTCAAGCACTTGTGGCACTTGACTTTTATATCGGATTCCCTAAAGAGAATTCCCGGCAAGGTAACGCAGCTCGGGCTCTTTCATCTAAGTAATTCAATATTTTCTGTTAAATTACATTTGTTATTATGAAAATGGGTTGGAGTGCGTCCGGGTGTGTCCTGGAAGGGGTTCGCGGCGGGCTAATGGCGGGGAAATTGTTTCAGCGCAAAATTGATTACATTTCGTCCCGTGTGGCATGTGTTGGTCTCAGGCTGGGGTTTAGGGTCTAGGGTTTGGGGTCTGGAGTAACCGGCTGTTTAAGGCACATAAGCCTATTGTTGTAAATAAGGAGAGACCACCCAGGACCTCCCCAACCATTTGTCTCCCCCAAGTGGGTACAGCGCCCTAATTTCATAAAGTATTTATAGAATTTTGTATGCCCCCAGCAATCCTCGCAATAAAAACGTACGCTGTGGACAAGAATGTCCGGATAAAAGATATTTTCATAAATCTATATATTGTCACAATGATTGGAAAAATGAGATGTGGCGGTGGGGTGAGGCGGTAGCCAACAGAAAGTCTGCAGTGAGTCATGTTTGATTGGCATTCCATGGCATTCAAATGTTTGAAATATGTATGCATTTCACGCGAATTCCATTTGCACCTTTTCGGCAGCTGGCATATTTAATGATGTCTGCCTCATTTTAGTGCCACTCCAATGATTCAATTTGAGTAAATATTGGACGCAATGTTGTGCCTTTTGTTGGCTTTTAATTAGAAAGCAACCCCAACCCCAACCCCAAGCCCAACTCCAGCCCAACTCCAGCCCAACTCCAGCCCAACCCCATTCGATGCCCCGAATCCGTTTTGTGTGCGTATTCGAGATTAAATCTTTAAAGTGTTTTTGGTTTGACGAGAAAATCCCGCAGCGGAACGGAAGACCATCCTATCAAAATCTAATAAAACCCACATATAACAATATACATATATATTCACATATATATTGGACAACTTTCGTCACATCGTTAATAAAAATGTGAGCTTGTCATAAAATTTGCAGCAGGAGGGTCGCACATGATGTACCTCCGTTTGGAGCGAACTTTGATGCTTCAGATTTTACGAGTTGTGTGCACAGAAGGTCCACAGGCGTGACTGGGCAGGGAGCCCCGTCGGGCCCCGTCGAGCCCCGTCCACATGTGTTTAGATATAAATCCGTGTCCAAGTTCCGCTTTTATGACCACCAACTCAGAGTTAACTAAGCGAAGCCATTTGATTTGATTAACTGGGTAATGTTTAATGGGTAATGGGTGATGGGTGATGTCGCCTGAGCTTGGCTGTGATTCCTTGGCCATAATTTCCACGCATTTTCACTTAACCTCTCACTCTCCTTCGACCACTTGCAGAGGGAAAGGCCATGGCCACCGCCTACGATTGTAAATTCATCGAGACTTCGGTGGGCATCAATCACAACGTGGACGAGCTGCTGGTGGGACTGCTCTCGCAGATACGCCTCAAGCTGGAGAACCCCGAGAAGTCCAGGTGGGTCATTCGTGGCTCTATACTCAATTTTCATCCTACTAATATTGCTGTCATTCCTCAGAGATCTGTTCCGGAAGCGTTCGATTAGAAAGTCAAAGCGTCGCGCCTGCTCACCGCTGAACGCTGGCTGCCTGAATGCCAACAGCCCGCTGGGACCGCTGGGCGGGCCTCTGGGCGAGGCCCCCGGCACGCCACCAGGAAGCTCCCAAAGCAGGTGAGTCCACGGAATCTTCAGAGCTTTGGAACCACACTAATCGGCCTGTTTCTTCTATTGCAGTCCCCGTAAATATCGCGGCTCACGAACCTCCACCAGCCTGAAGGTGAAGGGACTACTGGGACGTGTCTGGACCAGGGATTCCAAGTCCAAGAGCTGCGAGAATCTGCATGTGCTCTAAGCAATTGGAGGATGCCCCTCCATTGCATAATGTGCGTTTGTTTTCCAGAAAGAACCAAAGAACGCAACACTAAACCGAATCCCGAGGATTTCCTATAGAGTATAAGAGGGCGCTGAGCCTCCCAAAAAATTGCCTAAGTTACAGACTCGATGACTCATTTGTACATATTGTATAATTTTAGTTAAATCGTATTCTTTACTCTAGTCATTTCTACATTAAATCCTGTATATAGTTTGCTTAAATATAAAAACCCTATTTATAATTTCTTATGCGTTTCGTTTCTCTTTCCATTGAGCCTGAGTTGGAATCAATTTTTGAATTGATTTACTTTGATTTACGTGGCTTGATTTATTTTAATTGAGAGAATTTAAAAACGCAACCCAATGGAAACCAAATCAAAAGCAATAATTTTGTAATTTTTGAAAAGTTAAATTTTACTCCCAATAGGGGATTGAGGTAGAAGATACATAGTTTTATGACGAAATTGTACTGATTTTTTGAAGGTTTGGCACTTGTTCCGAATGGAATGCCGAATGGAATTTATTGTTAATTATATATGTATGTATGTGTAATGGTAATTTAATTGCATTTTAAAATTACAAAATATAAATATGAATATGATTGTTATTTGAAAACTCTAGATGTAATGTTCAACACATAACAAAAACAGAAAAACAAACAAAAAAATATCCGAACAAAACATGAATATTTACTACACATTGTGCAATTTTTGCTTACATAGAATTAGAAACATTTTGCCATAATTCTTATCCATTTTGTTTTTGACACGCCAACAAACTATTTTTGTTGCAGAAGCCCATCGTGCACTGACAGCCGGCACGTCCCTAGGTTTCTCATATGTATGTATTAGTCGGGACCATTTCAAAATTAAACGAAAACAAAAACAACTATTAAATAATCAGAGAAACACTAGAGGCACACACAGAGTAATAGTTGCTGCGGGTTATAAATTAGTTTTACATGCGGTTTATTATGCAGAAGAGTCCACAAGAAAATTGAGCGGACGCTTTTTGTTGTCTCTGGATTTTGAGAATTTTAGCTCTGAATGTACCCTATTTAAACGCGTTGGAAAGACACAGTCAATCCATTAGCCGTCGTGCAATATACATAACATAGATGTCTATTAAATGTCTTATAAATACGAGTATATGGAGATTAAAAAATCCACAAACTATTGCAGCACAATGGAATTTAAAGGAATGGTGTACTATCAAAATATCAATTGGCGAATGGCCCAAGTTGTATAGTCGAAAGCAAAGCAGATAGAAGTGCATTGAGAAGTGTTATCACCAGAAACATACTTATAGGTACTATATGTGTATGTATGTACATACGTGCATACCTAAATTAAATACACAAAATCTTAGAGCAAATATTTAGATGTAATTTGAATTATTGTCCAGAAATTTGAATATATTCCCGCTCAATACCAAAGAATGAATTCGAGCCGTAAACTAGAAGGTCGTGTAGCATATGACACTCGATTTGAACGGACCTTAAACTTGGAAAGTAGAGGTGTTAATGAAAATGAGTCGCATACATATACCATTTTACTCGTACCAACCTTATTTATGTGTAATGAGTGTATAATAAATGTGTAAACTTTCAATTTAATCGTCGAAGTGTTTTTTTCGGGGATTTAATATCGTAGAGTTGAGCATTTAACCAAAAATCAAAGTCGATGAATATGATCATAGACAGAAAATATTAGCCCATTGCTGACTATTGGGTATTTTAGTACCCTCCACGAAAATTATGAATTTCGAAGAGATTCGTGGTCTTTTTTGTTAAGTAAAGATGAAGGATAGGATGCATCTACAAGAAGAATTCTTATTATTATTAGCATATTTTCTGCGGCTTAATTAAAGTTGTTACCCTGTTTGAAAAGGGGGTTTCAGTGGTCTAAGTTCGTTTTTTCATCGGTATATTTTAGGTATATTTTGAATCGGTAATGGCCCGGTTGACAACATTTAAATCCTTGTCGCTCACATTCAAAAAAGTTCGATTTGGCGCGCACCACCGGTATATTTTGAAAATGAGACCGTATATTTCGGTGCTGTTCTGAGCGTCATACTGTAAAAACTGGTTTTCGCCGCGCTCCCATGTGGTGTTTTTTAGTGCTAAATGGTATTTTTGTCATCTATTAATTTCATTTTCAATGTTATATAAAAATCCAATAAATGCAAGTATTTCGAATAGGCCAATCATGTATAGAATTGATTCATCAAACGTATAAAATTAAGTGGGCATGGCTAAATGTTCCATATAGATAGTATTATTCAACGGAACAAAGAATATGAGGAATTGGTCGTTTTTTGAATCGAATTTGAATTCGCCGCAGTTTGCTTTAGCAACAATGAGTCCCATTCCAGACACAATGTTGTTGCAACATTTACTTGAAAACCGTTTTTTGGTCAAAATAAAATACTTACAAGCAATTTAAAGAAGCAATCTTGTAAAAAATGTATTTATCTATGCGATAAAGCTAAGTGGGCAAATCTATACAGCGATTCGCCGTAGTTTCGCTTTTGCAACAATGAGTCTCATTCTATACACAAATGTTGCTAAATTACCAACAACATTGCAACTGTTTTTTTGTTGAACTATTTTGCTTAAACCTTGTTTAGTCAAAATACAATAAAAGCAAGGACTAAAAACTGGCCAGTTAAGTAGAAAATTGATTCATTAATCGTATAAAATTATGAGGGCATAGATAAAGGCCCGGTTGGCAACATTTAAGTCCTTGTCGCTCACATTCAAAAAAGTTCGATTTGGCGCGCACCACTCGGTATATTTTTCAAGTGAGACCGTATATACTGTAGAAACTGGTTTTCGCCGCGCTCCCATGTGGTGTTTTTTAGTGCTAAATGGTATTTTTGTCTTCTATTAATTTAATTTTCAATTTTATATAAAAATGCAATAAATGCAAGTATTTTGAATAGGCCAATCATGTATAGAATTGATTCATCAATCGTACAAAATTAAGTGGGCATGGCTAAATGTTCCATATAGATAGTATTATTCAACGGAACAAAGAATATGAGAAAATTTGAATTCACCACAGTTCGCCGCAGTTCGCCGCAGTTTCGCTTTAGCAACAATGAGTCTCGTTCCATACACAATGTTGCGCATTCCATACACACTGTTGCAGCAACATTTACTTGAAAACCGTTTTTTGGTCAAAATAAAATACATTAAGGTAATTAAAAGAAGCAATCTTGTAGAGAATGCATTTATCTATGGGATAAAGTGGGCATCTATAGCTTGAAATATAGGCAATACCCGATTCGCCGCAGTTTAGCTTTTGCAACAATGAGTCTCATTCCATACACAAACATGTTGCTAATTCCATGCACACATACCCTGGGAGAAATGGATGATATAGAATTGTGAATACGTTTGTCTTCCAAGGCTCAGTAGGTATCAGGATCGACATAAATATATACAAGATACTAATAATGTACTTGAATATGTCTAAAGAATATCAATTTGAGAAAAGGTCTTAATAAATCACATTTCATCTTCATATAAAATTAACAAAATAGGGTATACAAAGGCCTATACTAGGGCTTTAGCGACTGTTTTTCTTGTTGAACTATTTTGTTTAAACCTTGTTTTAGTCAAAATACAATAAAAGCAAGTAATAAAAATAAGCCAGTTAAGTAGAAAATTGATTCATCAATTGGCTAAAATTATGTGGGCACGGCTAAATATTCTATATAGCTGGTAATATTCGACGGAACAAAGAAAACGGGGAATATGAATAATAGAACTTGAATTCGTCAGTATATTTACGGTATATTTTTTAAATAAAACAGTATATTTCGGTATGTTTCGGTATATTTCTGAGGGACGGACGGTATGTTTTAACTAATGTACGTGGCTTGCAACAACAAATTTCCCAAAATTAAAAAAAAGTGCTAAAATTTTATAAATTTCAATACAAAAAGGCCGAAGAAACCGCCGGTGAGGCAAACAGAGCTACATGAATTGTAAGTGAGAGCTTGCGGGACGGGACCCAGCATCGTCATCTATTTGTTTCTGTCGCATCTTCTTCATTTGCCTGCAAAAACAACAAAGGCAAAACATCCTTTCACTTTTCTTTTCTCCGTTTTCTTGCTCCTGAGCACACGACATTATTGTAGGTGTGTGCGTGTGAGTGGTTTCAGGTGATAATTCAGCTGATTTCTTGTGCGTTACGTTACTCAATGGCAGCAGCCGCCGCTTTTTACCGTCCCTCCCGTACCGTCCGTTCGCAATTTGCAAAGCAAAACAAAAAATGGCGCAAGACAACAAATGTTGTGTTTGTTTCGTTTGTCAAGTTTATCATATGTATGTACATGTACATGAAGTACAAGTATGATATGTATGAATAAGAACTTGAATTCATATCATTGTTTGCCGCTAAAAATAAACGATTTTAGAATCTGTTGTTTGGTGTCAACCACAAATATGCGCATATTCATCTGTGTTTCGTTATGTAAAAATAGAAAGATCAGCTGTTGAACAACAAAGTCACTATTCTCTGGCGTCCCCCCACCATATAACGTCGACTACGATTTCCAACGAAATTCGCATGCTATTCGATAGGGAGCTAGTATTTCATCATCCTGGGCTTCAGATTTCGCCAAACCGCTCTTCAAATTGCATCAGCCCATGAGCTGGGGTATAAATGCAGGGGCCGTCGCTTCCTTGCGTTTACTTCGCAATCGAGATGCAAGCAAGCTGCACGCGTAACCAGACACTGCCTTTACTCAGCCAGATGGGCGTAGGATAGGTCAGGCTCGGGGTCGAGCTCAGACTAGTAATTCTCATCTGACCAGCCGCATGTGCATCTTCCACTTTTTCCCATTGCAGAATCAATCACACATCACGCATCAGCATCATCCCGCACTCACGCAGACACATCTGAGAGGAAATGATTCCAAGGATACAGTAGACCGTGATCCTAACACTAGACAGCAACCAATGCATAGCAATAGTATGAATAACATACAGAGCGTCCCGCCTCCCCCCGTGGCTGGTGCGGGCGTGGGCGTGGGCATTAAGACGGCCCGGAGCAACATCTTCAATGTGGATGGTTTGCCGCAGCAGATGGCCAGCCTGACCATCGACTACTCCAGCATTCGAGGCAAGGATGTGCTGGTGGAGCCGAATGAGGGTCAAATGGAGCTGCTCCAGAAGCGGCTCCTTGATCGCATAGCGGACAGTTGTGGGGAGACCATCTACGAGATTGGCGTTGGCGAGGGTGAGTCATATTTGCGGTTCAATGGCCCATACATGTGACTCCCTGTTCCGACTCCTCCGCAGATGGCAGCGATAAGGGTCTGAATCCGGAGCAATTCGATGCCTCCGTGAGCACGTTGCATCTGCTGGCAGCCAATATCGATGCAGACGTGGTCAAGCTGCGTGAGCGGCGGGCAGAAAAGGGACAGACGGCCCAGTTCCTCATACGGAAGCACATCGAGACGACCGATTTCATGGAGATACGGTAAGCAGAGCGAGTGACCATTGGCGATCATCCCGAATCTAACATTCGAATCTTCCAGAGTGGCCGTTGTGGGTAATGTGGACGCTGGCAAGTCCACCCTGCTGGGCGTACTCACCCATGGGGAGCTGGACAATGGACGCGGTCATGCGCGCCAGCGACTCTTTCGGCACAAGCACGAAATTGAGAGCGGACGCACCAGCTCCGTGGGCAACGACATACTTGGCTTCGATGGGGTGGGCAACGTGGTCAACAAGCCGGACCATGGACACCTGGACTGGGTCAAAATCTGCGAGAACTCTGCCAAGGTCATCACCTTCATCGATCTGGCAGGGCACGAGCGCTACCTTAAAACCACAGTCTTCGGCATGACTGGACATGCTCCAGACTTCGGGATGTTGATGGTGAGACTTCTACCCTTGCCTGGCACTCTATGGAACCGCCCATTAATCCGCCCTCGTTTCAGATCGGGGCTAATGCTGGCATCATTGGAATGACCAAAGAGCACTTAGGCTTGGCCCTTGCCCTGGCCGTGCCCGTCTTCGTGGTGGTCACTAAGATCGACATGTGTCCTGCCAACGTGTTGCTAGACAACATGAAGATGCTATTTAAGATGCTCAAGTCGCAGGGGTGCCGCAAGGTGCCCGTGGTGGTGCGCACCCAGGACGACGTCGTCCTTAGTGCCACGAACTTTGTCAGCGAGCGTCTGTGCCCCATTTTCCAGGTGTCCAATGTGACCGGAGACAACCTAGAGCTGTTGAAAACGTTCCTTAATCTGCTGAGCACGCGGATGGCCGGCTCCGAGAGTCTACCAGCCGAGTTCCAGATCGACGATGTCTACTCTGTGCCAGGCGTCGGCACGGTAGTCTCGGGAACTTGCCTCCAAGGCACCATCAAGTTGAACGACGGTCTCATGCTTGGCCCTGATGCAGTGGGGGCCTTCGTGCCGATCACTATCAAGAGCATACACCGGAAGAGGATGAACGTGGCACGCGTGCGCTGTGGTCAGACGGCAAGCTTCGCCCTGAAGAAGATTAAGCGGGCCTACCTGAGGAAGGGGATGGTGATGGTGTCGCCGGACTTGAAGCCCCAGGCCTGCTGGGAGTTCGAGGGAGAGATTCTGGTGCTCCATCACCCCACCACCATCTCAGCCAGATACCAGGCGATGGTCCATTGCGGCAGCATACGCCAGACGGCATCCATCATACATATGTCGCGGGACTGCCTCCGCACTGGCGACAAGGCCCAAGTGAAGTTCCGCTTCATCAAGCAGCCGGAGTACATACGACCCGGTCAGCGTCTGGTATTCCGCGAGGGACGCACCAAGGCAGTGGGTAACATCCTGCGTCCCATGCCCCACGCAGCCGCTTCTCCTTACCGCCCCAAGCCTGCCAAGATGCAATCCCGATCTCAGAACGGCGGAAGCAATGGCACCAACAATCGACTGCAGGGCCAGGGAAGCTCCTCCGGAGCTAGTTGCAGCAAGGACTGTGGCGAGGAGAAGCTGAATGGCGACAAGCGCGAGGGAGGCAGCCGTCGAGGCGGCAAGCGGAAACGAAACAATCGCCCGCCACTGCCCGGGACGAATCAATCCAACGGCTCTGCCGCCCTAACGCTACCGCTTCCCGGCGGTGAGGCACCGTCCTCGGCTGCCTCCACGGCATGCCCGGAGTGAGAACCGTTTCCTTTGTTCTTTCTAGTTCTGTAAGCAAAAGTATTTGAAAAACTCTGCCAAAGTCTGGCGACCCAATCAGTTAAAAAGTTGAAAAGATAGAAACTATTTTGCTACTGGAATCCAAAATAATAGACATTTGGCCTGTAATAAATTGGACCGTGTTCCGTTCTCGTCCACTCCACTGTAAAATGAGTTGACAAATCGAATTTGTTCTTCTGTTCCTAGACTTAAGATTCACCGATTTCACTGCACATTGAATTTATTATTTTTGACTATAAATATAAGTTACTTAACGGAGAAGTTAATGTACATTAAACAAGTGATTTCACAACTTATTTCTGCTGCTTTATTGATTCCTCTATCTCTTCGGAGTTTCCTAAAAGGTTCCTAGAGTATGTCTGACTATAATTTTGCTTTCCCCGTTTCTATTTACAGATGCCAACGTCGCCGGATGTCTAGTCTTTCCTGTTTTTTAGATCCTTCTTCACACCCTCCAGCTCCTGTTTTACATTGTTCTTGAACATACTGACGAAGGACCTGCAATGCACAAAGGATTATAAGACTATAGTCGCTGTCTTGGTGTTCCGTCCTGCTGCTGTACTCACTTGAAGCGTTCCGGTGTCATCTCGTGCAGCCCCTGCTCCCTGGCCAGACTCTTGGTGCGGTACATGAGGGAGACGACCAGCTGGGCAGCCCGACGCATGGGATAGCTGTCTGCCATGCGCTGGATAAGCTGTTCATTGTTGGCCAGATACCGCATCAGTAGTCGCAGTACCATCGCGCGTGCTCCTGTGCCGTGCCCCTAGAATTCCGTGTCCTTGTACTTGCGTATGAGCTGCTGCTTCAGCTTAAGTTGATTCCGCAGCAGTTCGAGACGTTGCAACTGCTCGTCTTTGTTGTAGTCGATGCCGGGGAGCTGCCTTATTTGCTCGCGCGCGGACTCAAAACGCTTCTGCAGTTCAAAGATCTGCAAATATATTGAGTTACATCTACACTATATCTCTGAGTTATGCTCTTCCCACCTTGTGGTTGCAGTCCTGGGACTCGCGCAGCTTCACAGCGTTCTCAAGTGGATCCTTTTCCACGCTGAAAGAGATAAAAGCATATATGTCTTATGTAAGAGATTCGAGTGAATTGCGCCTTTCGGAAATATGTATGTACATATCCAATACATGTAAGTATTCAAACGAATGACATTTCGAACATTGCCACCGCGGACACAGAACCTACCAGCGCACCACGTCGTAGATGATCGGCAGAATCTCGATGTCCAGTTGGTCGACCGTCAGCTGGCACTGGGTGCCGATGCCGTTGGAAGTCTGCGTCTCCTGCGATATAGTCGGCTCGAAGGGCGAGTTGGAGGTTTGCACGAGTCCGTCGGCTGTAAGGATGGGTTTTCTGTCCTCGATTTGATTGTTTGGCGACAATTCCATTATAAAAGAAGAAAATTTCAATACCAGCGTCGTCTGGTATAATCGAACTTAGCCCACTTAAGCCCCCTCTATTTAAACAGTTCAACGACTTGACGTAAATGCGGAAGATATATAAATGGCGGAAAATAAAATTACATTGATGCAATTTTTGTGGTGTATAAAGGTAACTTATTAATTAATATTATAACCAGCTTTCGGCTATTTCAATTTTTGCGAAAAACGAACTACGCGGGTGACTCTATTGCGATTTCTTATCGATCCGATGCATCCCTGGAATGAACTAGAAGTAGAACTAATAATCAATTCTCTATTGAGGTATTCCGCTGTTTTGCTTAAATACAAAATATGTTACTTATTAGAAGGTTTTACTGTAGCTCTCAGCGAATAAGTCATATAGCCAAGTCAAATAAGCGAGGCGACTCACTCGGTATTCGGGTAAATGCCCTGATTCTAAGTTTCAACTGGTTACATAGACATAACAGTCTTATCAATGTCAGGGCTGGATAAAAAACATTCGCCGGTTGAAGAACAACACATTTCTGGACATTGATGATGGATCTTCGAGCAGCAGATTCCAAGTCGTTGTGCCACGCAATCCAGAAACACAAAACCTAACACCGGGCAGCGTCATCTCGGCTGTGGGAGAGATCCAAGTGGCACCTAACGGAAACTTTGAGCTGCATGCAGATCGCGTGGAATCACTGGGTAAATCTTGTGACTGTTGAAGCCTGTTGCACTTATTAAACCTTTTTCTTTTCGGAAAGCCGAAGGACACCTGCAGGATGGCTATCCTTTCACCCCCAAGCAGAAACACGCACCGGAATATGTTCGAGAGCATCTGCATCTCCGCTCCCGTGTCGACTACGTAGCCGCCCAGATGCGAATCAGACACAAGGCTCAGAAAGCCATACATGACTACATGGATGAGCTGGATTTTGTGCAAATCAACACTCCTCTGATGACCACCAACGATTGTGAGGGTGCCGGCGAGGTTTTCCGTGTACAGCCCGACTCGGAGGAACTGCTTAAGCAAATGGCCCGGCCCAATGTCCCAGCAGAACAAAGCTATTTTGACAGCAAGGTCTTTCTTTCCGTCTCGGGACAACTGCACCTTGAGGCCATGACCTATGGCCTGGGAAACACGTACTGTCTAGCCCCCGCCTTTCGAGCCGAGAACTCCAAGTCGCCATTGCATTTAGCCGAGTTCTATATGTTTGAAGCCGAGCTGGCGCATTTGGATGAGCTGGAGAAGCTGGCGAAATTTATTGAGCAGATGCTTAAGTCCATTACAAATCGCGTACTCGAGACGAGCTCAGAGGACTTGCACTTCTGCCAGCGCAATGCCAATGCTAGCTCGGATCTGCCTTGGCTGACTGTTCCATGGACGATCATGAGCTACGATGATGCTCTCCACGTGCTCCTGGCCAACAAGGAGAGTCTAAAGACGCCCATCAGCTTGGACGAGGGTTTTACCAAGGACCAGGAACTTTTTCTTGTGTCCCACTGCGGCACTCCCGTCTTCGTTGTAGATTGGCCCACCCAGCAAAAGCCTTTTTACATGAAAATCACTCGCAATAATCCGGATCGTGTCCACGCCCTAGACCTGCTGATGCCAGCTGTGGGGGAATTGTGTGGTGGCAGCTTGCGTGAGAGCGATGCAGCCACTTTGAGCTCCCATCCACAGTTTCCCAAGGACTTGTCGTGGTATGTGGACCTGCGAAAATACGGAGGGATCCCTACGGGCGGCTTTGGCATGGGCTTTGAGCGATATCTGCAGCTCGTGACGGGTGTTAAGAACATACGGGATGTGATACCATTTCCCCGATATCCACACAGCTGCAAAATGTGATTAATGTGAGTGAAAAATATGTACTTTTTATTGTTGACAACTATATAAACTTGCATTACTTTGGGGGATGGCTTGGATCGCAACTGTCGTCGATCCAGATCAGTGATCGGCACGCACACACACTGCCAACCACTGTACCAGTGCGCGTGTACGAGAGCGGCAGCATTGCACTTTCCTGTTCACATAAGATAGAGCCTTGCCGATCGCTGATCCAGATCATTGTGTGGGAACATAATTGCTTTATGTTTTATATAATTACCGATTATTCTTGGAAAGACTCTTAATTGTGAAGGCTTAGGATTATGTCGCTGTGCCTTCTTTGATCAGATTGGATTTCAATTACAACTGTCCCAGCATTGGCTTGCGTCCCGGCCAAGCCTCCTTGGCATATTTCTTCTTCTGTGGTCCCAGACCATCGCCCTCGCCACTCGAATCGTGTGGATCCTCAGCATGGCGACGCACTTTAACAAAACAGAATATTATTTGAGGAGGAACTTTAAGAGGAAAACTTTTAAAATCACTCACCTCCTGCATTGGCAACGGCCAGCTTTTGAGCCAAAGTAGAAGTAGGCTCCACCTCCTCTTCAAAAACGGGCATCACCTCGGGCGCGGGATTGGGTAGAAGCAGGCCCAACTTGGAGCTAATGCTCAGAGGCGAGATGGGCTCTAGATCGCTCTTGCCGTGAACCTCTGGAAGTCCCTGATATAGTGAGTTCGTGGGTGACTGCGGAGACGCTTGCAAAGCTGCCAAGTCTCGGTGCTGATGATGTTTATTTTCTGCCAGACTCTGCTGGAACATCTGTTGCACACTGGCTGCATTGGCAGCCGCCAAGCTGCTGTGCCCTGAATGGATGCCCATGTGGTTGAGATCGTACCGAGACCGCTTCGCCGGCACCACTGTGGTCTGCACAAGATTACGGAAGCGTCCCACATTGGGGTCTACATCCTCTGGATTGATGACGATCTCCTCGTCATTAAACGTGACATTACGACACCGCCGCCCCTGTTTCAATGCGTTCTGCTTGCGCATGTTGGTGTCATCGTCAATGCCCAGCATTGAAATACGCCTGTTATGGGCCGTGTTGTACTCGGTGAGATTCTAAAAGGGAAGGTCCAGTGATCGGCTTCGCTTACATTCCGAAATGACTTTAAACTCACATCCAATTCAGTTTGGCTTTCGGGTAGACCCAGCAAGGCTCCATCACCGGTCTCGCTGATGGGCAGATCCTCCATGATGTTGGTGTGCTGTCCGGCAGACGGTCGCTCGCGGAGGATGTAGTTCCTTGTCGAAGCCCCAAAATGAAATTGGCTATTAATCTGAAGCTGTGTCGGCTTGTGAGCCTCCAGTCTAAGGGTCCCAATGAACGTTCCATGAGCTGGGAAAGACCATTACATGTGTTATTCCGCACAATATTGAAGAGTTGCACACTTACTGGAACCCAAATCCACGAGGTATGTAATGTTGAGGTGCTTGTGGTACACAAAGGCCGCGTGCACGCGGGAGCACGACGCGTGGTCGATGCAAAAGTCATTCATTTGACTGTTTCGACCAAATAAATAGCATTTTTTATCATCAACCATCAGTTTTTGTACTAGTTTTTCATCCTTGAGAACATCCAAGTGGAGCCCCGTCGGCGGTTTTCCAGCCCTAAAATGTGTGTGTTTGCGTGTATTTGATGTGTTCAGATTATGTTGCGTTTAATTACTGACCAACTGGGTATGTCGTAGCTGTTAGCCATGCGTTTAACTTATGTTGAACAGATGATAAAGAATTGATTAAGATTTGTTTATTTTTATGCACAATCCTGAAACAGTGTGCACACACTTGCGGCCGCAAAAAGCATAAAGTTTTCGGTATTTTTTGTATATTTTTTAAATGAGACGGTATATTTTGGTATATTTCTCGTCGGACGGTATATTTTAACGATAAATCCGCGGTCACACTGGTCAGACCGTATGTCTTATCGATAAGCTAATTAAACGAAAACAAACAAGCGAACCGTTTTTTGCATTGCGCTTCTCTAGATAATTGCGGCGTTGCGAGTTTTTAATCCAATTAATAAACTGTGTTTGTGAAATTAATTGCTGGAAGGTGTGTGTGCCTAAGCTACAAGCTGCAAGTGGCGGCCCTGGACGTGCTGTAAAATCCAAAACCGGATCTCCGTGAACTCATCTTTGTGACGTCGTCTATTATTGTAGTATTGTTGTATTAATCATAGTTAATTAGTCGCGAAAATGGTTACGACTACGGCGATCGCCGATCTGTGCATCTTTGTGCTCACCTGGAATGTTGGAACTCATTCGCCCAGGAATTTGTCGCTGACATCGCTGCTGGCCTTGAATGGAACCACCAACTGTCCGGGCAACCAGCTGCCCGACATTTACGTCATAGGCTTGCAGGAGGTCAGCACCAAGCAGGTGCTGAACATCTTTAAAGACGACCCGTGGGTGTTGGAAATAGCCTCCCATCTGGAGGATCACGAGTACTTCAAGGTGGACTCGAAGCAGCTCCAGGGAATTCTGATAACGATGTTTACCAAACATAAGCACATTACCCACATGAAGAACATTGAAACGGAGGCGACCAGAACAGGCCTAGGAGGGCTGTGGGGTAACAAGGGTGCAGTAAGCATCCGGCTCAGTCTGTACGGAACTGGAGCTGTCTTTGTGTGTTCCCATTTGGCGGCCCACGACGACAAGCTGAAGGAACGTATTGAGGACTACCACCAGATAGTGGACAACCACAAGTACCAAGCCTCGGGCTATCGTCGGATCTTTGACCACGATTTTGTCTTCTGGTTTGGTGACCTCAACTTCCGGCTGTCCGGCGACAGCAGTGCATGGGACGTGAGGACCGCCGCAGAGGGTATGCGCTATGACGAGCTGCTCAAGCAGGACCAGTTGAACCTGCTGAGGGAGACGGGGAATGCCTTTAGCTTGCTGGAGGAGCAGGCCCCCAACTTTGCCCCCACTTTTAAGGTGATTGAAAACACAATTTAATTTCCCTTATCTGACATAACAAAATTGTATATTCTTGTAGTTCATTGAGGGCACCAATGACTACGACCTGAAGCGGCGCCCGGCCTGGTGTGATAGGATCCTGCATCGCGTGCAGCGCAACATTTATCCGGCCGTTACTCTGAGCGCCACCCAGCTGTCTTATCAGTCGAATATGGAGTATACGCTCTCCGACCACAAGCCCGTATCTGCGACATTCAACTACAAAGTAGAGACTGCTAATCAGACCGACGAGGAGTTGCATGAAATGACCCATGCCGGCGCCTCAACCCCCGGTACACCAAATGTTAGTTTGACCTTCGCCTTTATCGTGCTTGTAGCTTTGCCTTATTCTCAACTCTGATTTCGCTTCTTTTGTAGTTGTTTAATGCGCAGCTAGAGCAATGGTGATGCAATCATGACGTCAATTAATTGTTATATCCCTGTTAATGCTTTTAATGTCGAATCTAAGCAATATCCATTATTGAATGTGATTTCCTTACAGAAAAAATCTGTGAAACGAATATATCAAGAGTACAATGTGAAGGAATCTCTTTAAGTCTAAGTAGCAATCACTCAATCAAGCAATATCTCAAGTGTCAAACTCCAAGTGCGATTTATATATATATATATCTATCGAAATATGTTTAAACATTTAAACAACAAATTTAAATAATTATAAAGACCAACTGCTGCATATCATACGTTGTATTAGACAAAGATATTTTTCTACGAAAATTGTTAATCGAATAAAGACTTGTTTTTGACTGGCAACTGGCATCATTCGATTTGACTCTTCATTCGGCTCTCAAATCTATTTAAATAAATTATATATAATACTGACAAAAACAACAGCACGCACACGCATATTTATTCAGAAATGTTTTTTGTTTGGGTTTGTTTCGTACAACATCGGCGCGTTGTCTATTCTTTATTAGCTAGGGGTTCGGTTCCTTCGGTTTGAACAGTTCTTTATATTTTACATACATTTGCTTGGGAGGGGGGCCAGCCAACGTAGGGTAGTATATAATATAAGTATATAAGCCACCTTTAAATTATTATTAAAGCGCTTTGCCTTTGCCTTAAACTTAGAGCATATGTAAGGTATGGATAAAAATTTAAAATTAATACATATGTAGTTCCCTTTTTGCACAAAAGTGGTTCATAATAATAATAAATATATATACTATATATATATTTTTATGTAGGTGTAGGTGTATGCATATGTATATTTTTGGATGAAGCGTTTCTTGTAAATTGGGGGGTAAATGCTACAGTAAAAATTATCATAAAATTGCCTCTCCTCTCCTTCCTTCCGTCTAGCGTTCATGTTATGAATGATGATCGATCGTCAGATGTTGTCGTCGGGATGGCACAAACAACCACCAAACAGGAAATAAATAGAATAACAAAATGAATGATTTGAAATTACGTTTGAACTACAAATGAATCTCAAATGAATATTTGTTCGTTATTTTTCCACTGATTTCCAATGTAGCGTAGTGCTTGTTGCATTTGAGGTTTCTTTCCTTCTTTCTGTTCAGTGTTTGAGTTATACTTAGTTTGCTAACGGACGTTTTGATCATTTTATTGTTGAACTCTTTACTTAAATACAAACGCAATTTCGTAGTGTCACAGTACTCTTTGTTTTATAGCCATTTTCTAGGGCCATGTATGGTCCGGTCCATATTTGTGATTCGATTCGGTCAAGCGATCGCCTCGACAGCGAACCACAGAGCAGAGCCACATCGTGTGCCACTGAACATACAAACATACATAGATATCTAACTAGTTAAATAGATAAGATTGTGTGTGTTTGTTTTGGGTTTCGGTTTGGGTTCGTGTGTGTACTACTCATAAGTATTAATCTCCAGTCAAGTTTCGTAAAATTTCGATTTCTATTGTAGAACACATTTTTCCTTCCCACCGCTAATATCCACTTGCTCCAGCTCCCTGGCTATCTCATGGTCGTCTTCAATGCTACAAATAATAAATGATGAGGGTTTTAAATACGAGTTTCTGACGAGTATGGCTTACGCAATTTCCTGATTATGCAGATGTTGAACCAGCTGATCCCGCTTGTCCACAATCGTAACCAGCTCTTCGAGCAGTAGTCGCTCCTTCTCCCGCTGCACCTCCGTCTTGCGCCAGTCCTCTACAGATTGAGCCGCTCGCAGTTCCTGATTAAGCATTGTAAACTTCCGCTCCAGATCTTTCTCTTGTTCGCTGGGGGCACAACCAACACACATGAGTAATCCGTGCCGGGGAAAATATAGATAGATAACACTTACAGTATGTTCAACTGCATCTGTCGCCTGAGCAGTGCGTTCTTTTTGTTGACCAACGTGAACCACTGCGATAGCAGTTGCTCCTCCGTTTCCTCGGTTTCTGTGGGGAACAATACGTGTTAGGATTAAAATGCATGCATGGTACCACGTATGGTTTCTATAATCTCAAAAATGCTAGTTGTAGTTTAGTGTAGTCTAAGAACTAGGACTCCTTCGGCGGTTTTAAAAGCTGTTGCAGAGATTGCAGACTCTGTGATTAGTGAGAATTAGTGAGACGGTTGAAGCTTAGAGCTTCCTTCGAACGAAGTTAGATACAATCGGAAGCAGGTATTTTTAAATAGGGAAAGCAAAAGACACACAAAACGAACAAACGGCAAACAACAAACAGCACAGAGCAGACAGGAAACAGCAGAAGGTACAAGGTATGAACGATGCGATGCGATGCGATGCGGATTAGGCTGCGAAAACGGCGGCAGGCGGTTGTGAGGCGGCGGTTGGGTAGTGCTGTTCTAGCGGCGCATGGCGGAAGCAGTTAGGAACTCAATGAATCTAGTGGATGGACGGGCTGGCACTTTACCGCAATGGGTGCGAGAGTGGGGCCTGCGGGAGCGCCGTTGATGGTGGCGCCGCTTGTGGCGATCCTGCTGCCGCCGAATGGAGGCCACATGTCCTGTGGCTACCATGGCCAGGGCATCATCATCGTCGCTGTACGCTGGCAGATTGTCATAGGAGGACTGCTGGGAGGACATGCCCGAGGCGGAACTGCTTAGCAGATGACTGTAGGGCACGACATGATGCACATGATGCGGTCGCGGCCGCAAGTGATGTTGATGGCTTTCATGGGTGTTGGGGCTGTTCGATGGATGATGGTCTTTATTCACATTGACAAAACAGGAATGGGAGCGGGGTCGCGGCCGTGTCTGGCCCAAGGTCTGGACCTCATCGCCCGAGATACAAGCGCTATCGCTGGAGGTTTCATCATCTCCGCTTGTTGTTCCGGCACCGTTACCGGTGCCCGTATCCATGCCCGCCCTGCATGCTGCTCTACTACCGAACAAGCTCTCATCGTCGGAATCGAGCAGCTTAATGCGAATTAAGTCACCACCACCAATACTATTTCGGATTAGCCTAAGGAACGGGTTCCCGTTCCGATTGGTTCGATTATTACTTGGATTGCCGCCCATCACAGCGCGCAGCTTAGCCTCCAGACTGCTGGCCTTCTGGTCGATGGCCTCCTGCTCCCGCTCCAGTGCCTCCAGTTCGGACTCGATGTAGGATAGCTTTTCGCCCTGCAGAAACACAGAAGACGAGAATTAAACGAACATCTCAATGTGTAGGACCATCTTTCCTTACCCTCTTCTCGTGCTTTGGTGAGATGCGGTCCACAATCGCATTGAACGATTGCAGGGGACTGCCATTGATGTTGACTCCCCCGGATAGGGCATTGCTTAATCTATGACTAGGACTGATCTTGTTTCCCACACTGCCTGGCTCCGCCTCGTCAATTTTCTTCAGGTTCTCGAAGTAGAAATCGTCGGAGCCATTCTGAATGGGCGAGATGGTGCGCTCGGGCGAAAAGTTAAAGCGCTTGCCCTTCGTGGGGCTGGTGGGACTGTCGATAGAGCCGCCGCCGGCTCCGGTCTTGGTGCGGGTCTCCAGTATCAGGCGACGTGCCTGCTCCCGCAACCGCTGCTTTCGCTCCTCCTGCGAAAGCAAACAAAGCCGATAATTGTGTGAGAATTGATTGATTAGCGTGGGGTCGCGATGCATGCAAGAGATAGGCTGCGCTGCGGGCGGACTGTGTCTCTGGCAAAAGCTACTTACGTCGTTCGCATCGCCGCGATCGCCGCTGCCGTTGGAAAACTTTAACTTTTCCATCATAAGCTTAGCTTTTTCACTCATTGCCTTGTGGCGCGTTAAAATTCGCTATAAAACAAACCAAAGTAAAGCAAAAAAAACACAAAGAAACCAAATCATATTTACAGAAACGAAAAGCTTAACTACAACATGAAATCAATTCAAAACTGCAACATAACGAAGCACTGCAAAAGCTACAGCTACTACTCTGCTGCTGGCATCTACTCACATTGGCCGCGTGTGCATCTAGCACCGATAGGGATGCATTCTCCTTGCCCCCCACCTGCGTAGCGTTCAATGAGCTTTCATCGGCGTCCTCCACAAACTGGCTCTGGGGCGGCGGAGGCGTCAGGCATGACTGATTGGCATGCTGCGATGCGTTGATCGAGTTTTTGTCCTTTGTGGGCGACAGCACTTTGCCCAGGATATTCTTCGAGTTATACAGAATAATGTTCTTCACATCTTTTTTGCTCTGCGGCGATAGCTGCTGGGCTTTGTCCAACGAAAAGATGTCATCGTCGAAGGAATTCTGATGCAACAGCTGCGTCTTCAGATGCGAAAAGTTGAGGTTCTGCGACAAATTGTCCGACTTGTAGTTGCCAATAACGTAGCTCGACTCGTCCGAAGTTGTACCTGCGAGATGACACACCGTGAAATAGATTGTTTATAAGAATTTCAATAGTTTACATACCGATTTGTTCGATTTGCAGCTGCTTGCCAGTAAAGTGCGCCCGCAACTGGTGCAGATATGTCATGACAGCCAGCTTGTCCGGCACAGTCAGCAGATTCATGTCCCGCGGCTCAATGACACGGGGTATGCCCAGCGATTCGGCCGCATCGAAGGCAATGCGACAATTGCCAACCACATCGTGGGCACTCAGCTTCGTCATGTCGCTGCAATAGTGACAGAAGATTATAATGAAAGATGAACGATCTCTGGCGCATCTCAAAGAGCACTCACATCAGATCCGGGACAAAATGATGGATGATGGCACAGAATGCCATGCCGTTGCGCCAGCTGGTCGTTAGGTTTGTAACCTTTACATTTGGATAGTCTTTGGTAACTTCTTTGCACCACTCGAGCAGATCCTGGCCGGGTGTGTTCTCCTTTAGTACAATCTTTTCGACAGGCTTTAGGCTGTTCATTCCACCGGCCACTGCACTCGACTGCGATTTGACAGAATCATTAATCGTTGGGGCGGGGGCAGGGGCTACTGGCTCGTAGCTCTTCTTCAGATTGAGCGGCTGCAGCTCGGCACGCTTCGCATTCGACGAGGCATCCCTGCTGCTCCTTGTGGTCTGCTCTGGTGGGGCAACTTCCGTGGCCGTGCTGTTGTTCTTAACGATCTTCGCGGTCTCCTCCTTCTTGGGCTCAGCCGGTAGATCGACAACTGGGCGAGACTCCTCCTTCGCGTCGAAGTTTAGAGCCTTTCCCTTTTTTGCTTTCGCACTCTCCTTGGCAGTGGCTGCCTTTGGTTCTAGCGGTGTGGATGTGATCACCTTGGCGAATCCCTCACTGTGATTGTATCCCAGTGAGCCTGCAGGTGTCTTCTGCTGATCCGTTTGCCTGATTTCACCTGTGCCCCTGGTGGGCGTGCTCTCCACCACTGGCTGCAATCCGTTGGGCGTTTTCGAACCCTCTTCGACAGCAGCAGCAGAAGCTGCGGGCAATTCAAGTGTATGCGAAGCTTCCCTTTCGCCATCGGCTTCTAGTTCAAAATGCAATTGATTAAAGGACTCGGCCAATGGTGTGGGATCTTCAGATAACGAAGGTACTACACAGAGTAACAAACGGAAAATAAACGCAAAAGAATAACGAAATTTACATTTAAATTTACACAATTTACGCACAAGAATACGAGAGTTGCGGGGTAAATCATTCAAGATACATGTGGTGTGGTGTGAATTGGATAGAAAGGGAAATAAACATTGTTTGAGTATGAGGAATTATTGTACAGATAGTATCTACAGCTAAGAGTTACATATATATAGTATATACTAAGTAAAGTAGAATTAACATACTTAATCTAGTCTGATCTATTTTGCGTACATTTAGAAAAACATCGAAACATCAAGAGTCTGTGCATACAAAGGATGAACGGACGGCACTTACCACTTAGCGGCGTGGCCACATCTATGCAGCCATTGAGGCTCGTTGTCATCTGCTCCAGTTGATGGGTGAAATCATATAGATTGTCCGTGATTTCGCTGAAATTCTCGAGGTCCGGTATATCCTCCAGATCGTCGAGCGGGGCCACATCACAGTTGTTGTTCACCGACATCATTGAGACAACGCTCTGCATGTCCTCATCTCTGCAAAACACACATACATATGTACATTTTTACTGGATCTCTGGATCCCTGCCGGTGTTTACTCACGTTGCCTTGCCCTCTCGGAGGAACACACAGCTGATGGTTAGTTCCAGGCTGGCTGCGGTTATCTTCTTCGAGACCGGCTTAAGACTCAATGTAAAGCTCTGCTGAGTAGATTCGATGCTTGCGTACCTTCGCATATTAATGCTGGCGCTGGCCAGCACACGTTTCTTTCCCATGGGCGTGACCTGTTACAAGATATAAGTAATGTGTGTGTTTTACCACCCAGTGCTCACTCACATCTTCGATGACGAAGGTCCAGTCCTTATCCTCCAGCTCGTGAGTGCGGGGATCCTTGAACAGGGTGACGGATATGGTGTGATTGTCCGGCACTGGCCAGGATATATTGCCCACCAGGGGGTTCATCATATCCGGCTCCCATGGTAATGGTGCACTGGCCACGCGTCTCGATCTTCTTGTCCACACAATGGAGAGATTTGATGGCCGCCTTCAAAGATGATTCAATTAATATATGGATTATCTGTTTCTGAGGAATCTGAAAGTGCTTTCAACTCGAATCTATTCTAAGAACATACGCGGTCTTATTATACATACTCGTACATTTCATGTATGTATAAATGAAATGAATAACATTTTTTGTTCCCGGAAAATGACCGTATTTATACAGATATGTGGGCCCTTGAGCTGATATGCGCCTGTACATATTGGTTCATATATGCAAATGATGATTAAAAAGAGCAGTCTGCATAAAGAATTTTAATATCAACAGGAAGTGGGGTCATGTACGAGTATATATGTAAGCACACTCATATTGGTGAAGGGGTTTATGGGCCACTTGAAAACGAGAAATTCCTAATTTTCGGCTGTCCAGAAGAGCTCTGAATACTTGTATCCCAACCATAGATATACATAGATAAAATCACTTACCATTTGGCGGTGGTCTCTAGGTGCAGGTCGTGGTAGGAGGCGGTGAACTGGAACTTTGCCGCTCGCTTGAAATTGCGCTGTAAACGCTTCCAGACGCTGCCCATGACGACACTTGTGGTACCCTCGTGGGACCGTTTTATTGGGATGTTGAGGGGGGCGGTGGGGGCTTCTGTATAAAATTATCTCCGCTTTGATTCTCGTTGTGGGTGGCGTCGACTTAAGTCTCCTTAGTGCATGATGTCCTGTCATAAATCAGCTGCTACCGCTGCAGTCGACCTTAAAAGCACAGAGCGCAATAATTGATTAGAATGCGCTTCAAACGCAAACGCCTGACACTATGCTATGTATGATCTGGATTATATTTCTGGGTCGTTCATACAAAGAGAGTGCACTCTTCAGATACAATCCAGATTGCATGGTCATGAGGTACTTGAGATTTTTGCTCAAAACAGTGCCTACGACACTAGACCGAGTCGCCATTAATGGATTTTATTCTATCTATCATATTTTAACACTTTTTCCCTTGAAGGATTTCGTCTCCTCTCGCTTTGTTGTCTGCAAAAATACTCAAAAAATACATACGCACACACACACACACTCGACCCGAACAGAAGTACACACGGATACGCACAATTCTCCCTCCCACCATCGGCACGCTATGTATCGTTTAGTAGTATTTGTTGTTTTGCCATTGCACTGTGTTTTTTGTGACCTTTAGTTGTCACTTTTGTCGCGTTTTTGTTGCTTTTCTTATAAATACTTTAGAGAATTACAGCTTATTGCTAGTTTTGTATTTATCTATTAATGGCCCTGTGTATGTGTTTGTTTGCGTGTTGTTCGCTTTTCAGTATATTTCACTAGCCAATCCAATATTTAGCAAAACTCTGTATCCCACATATATGAATATGTTTGTCTGTATATACATAAATAGCACCATTATGACGTCACTCTTGTTTTGGTCTCTGAATTCTTTTCAAGGCCTTATATGCTTTGATACGGGCAACGACACTGCTCCTTGAGGCTTCGCGAGTGTTCTTGACTTGCACGAGATCGGGATTGTCACGGCCCAACATACATTTAATTCCTCGAGTTTTCCGCACACAAAACAATATCCCAGGGCTGCACTACATATATTTAATTCCGGAATTCTTCGCACAACAAATCCAGGGCTACAAAAATTATTCAATGAAACGTTAAGTGTAGACTGCTAGAGACACAGTTAAGTCCAATATTCAGGGCTGCAGACAAGAAAAGTGCTATCGATAGTTGAAATGGTTTAATTGATTTGCGCGCAAATTGTTAAATAAACTGCGTTGCATTTTAATTTTAAGCCCAATTATGTATCGCAGACCAATTTTTGTTTTAAACGCAATTCGATAATTTTTATTTATAATTAAATCATGGGTTCATTAATATTAATTACAATTATTTAAAAATTAGACGTGGCTGCTGCTCCATTTCGATTTGTATGATCAAGAGAATGTTGATTTAATTGAATGTGAAATTATTTTGTTTTTTTTCGCATTTGTTTCGTTTCGTTTTTGTTTTGCTTTGTTCCGCCGTTATAAGTCTACACATATGCTATGTAAGTGTGGGTGTACATATGTATGACGCTTTTAATGCAGCTGGTGTGTGTTTTGTTGCAGCGGCGTGGCAGTGGATCTTTATCGTGGTTTTGTTTTAAGCAATTTAATTAAATTCAATTGATGTTTTCCTTGCAAATAAACACAAATAAATAAAAAAAAAGAACAAACCAAAAATGATTAGCTGTTGAGTCGGGGGTGGTTTGGGAGGGCCGACCATGTGGCGACATACAGATACAAAAGAAGCGTATCACAAAAATATGGTTAGAAAAAAATGGTTATAAACATGTCATAGTGGCGCATGAAACGAAATATATCACAAACAATTTGCTATCAAATAATTTAAAAGATAATTACAATTGGTTCTGAACCATGCAACTGAAATTATCGATCATCCTACAACCGAGAAATGTGTTAAAAATGCTTTATACATATATTAATTCGCTTCCTGGTGTTCGTGCATACACATGTACGAGTACTATATATCTAGCTGCCACGCCATTAAACCACACAGATACCCGTCTAAGTTTTGCGATTGGACTGGCCCTTAGCCTGCGCTTGCTGCTGACCCTGCTTGCAGAAGTCCTTGTACGCGCGCTCGGTTTCCTCGTCCATTTCGGGATCGAGATCCAGGTCGCCGTCTCGTACATCGAATTCGTCGCCTTCACTGCCATTGGCATCGTCCTCGGCAGCGAGAAAGTCCGTCTCCTCGGCAGTCAGCTCATGGCCATCGGGGCCGTAGAAAACGGGCTCATCGCTGAGGCGCGGTGGCTCTGCCACAGTATCCTCCTCGCCACCGAGAGCGTTGGAGACCTTGCGGCCCCAGTTGTTCTGCTGCAAGGCAATGACGCTGGCGGCCATTGCGTACCTGCCGTTGGTCTTCAGTTCAATCTCTTTCAGGGCTGTGATTATATTCAGCATGTCTTTTGGGCAGTCGGCGGTGAGGTCGTAGCCGGCCAGCTTCAGGGTCTGGCAAATGCAGCGCACGTTTTCAGCACTTTCACAGGCCAGGAGCTTGGTCAGAGAGTACACAATGTTAACGGCAATGAGTTGGATACGGGCGTCGTCATCCCCGCGGAGCTGCATGTAGAGCTCGGCGAGGAAGAGCGCAGTCTCGCGCACTTTTTGCTGCTCCCCAGAAGTCATATACTTCGACACTTCCTCCTGGTGGTAGTCGAGCTTGCATTTGAGTAGAGTGTGGAACAGCGAGTCTGGTTTGGGGTTCAGCATGTGCAGCAAATTGTACAGCTTGGCCCCCATGTATCGGAAGTTCGGCTGCTCGATGGATTTCTCGAATATATCCTCCATGGCGATCGAGAGTACGTAGTGGTTGTTCTCCATGCCGTCGAAAATGGTTAGGAAACGTGATGCGATTGTATCAAATTGGCCCGGATTCTGAAAGATGGACCGAATAGAACGCGATTAGTGGGCCAGACCCCAAAGCATATGGAATTAGCTACTCTCACCTGGTTAAGGCAATGTATCACTGTATCGAGATACTCCAATGCAATGGTAGCCATGTCCGGCTGCGACGCGTTCGACGACGACGAGGACGAGGCAGCTGCGGACGAAGTAGAGGCTTGTGGCTGCTGCTGCTGCTGTTGATTTTGGAAATACTGCTGCTGCTGCTGCTGTTGCTGCTGATGGTGCGGCTGCTGTGCGATTTGTTGGAATGAATTATTTAAATGAGCGTAACGTTGGAATTTCCCGTGTTGATGTTGTGTGTTCTGTTGGTGTGGCAGTTGCTGCTGTACCTGCTGCTGATAGAAATTGCCCCCCATTGATCCATTGTTTGAGGACTGCTGATTGGATACGTTCAGTCGGCTTTGGAGAGAATTCGGTAGATTTTGCATATCATTCTTAAACTTCTGCTGATGCTGGTGGTGATGATGGTTGTTGTAGTGCTGCTGATGCTGATGGTGGTGCTGCTGGTGCTGATGATGATGCTTGTAGCCATTGACATAGCGGTGCTGCTGCTGCTGCTGACCGTAAGGCGCTGTTCCTCCAGGCTGGTGCTGCTGATATTGCTGATGTCGCGAGTGGGGTTGTGGGGGCGCGACTGCCCTCGGTATAAAAACTGTGGCGGCCGCCGACAATTTCGATGAGCCGTCAAAGCCGCTGGCCAGCTCAGACAAAGCCTGGGCCTGGGCCTGTGCATAACCAACTGCTTGACCAGGAGCGTACTCACTCTGAGCATAGCCCGCAGCTCCATAATCGTTGAATAAGTGCGCCTGTTGGTCTAAAGGGATGGCGGCGGCATGGGCCAAGCCAGTGGCGGCGGCATTGCCCCCGGGATTCGGTCGACGTAGTGGCTCATACTTGTCTTCGGATTGGAAGGGTGCGCGGCATGACATAGCGATAGCGGCGTCGATTTCGAAAACTAAAAATAAAAACACACAATTAGCTCTGAACACGTTTTAAAAAGCACCAAACAAATCACATTCATGTTTCAATGATGCGGTTACGTGGACGCCGAGCGCCGACGCCAATTCCGCCACAATTGCGGACATTTTGTTTCTTCGCTAGGTGATTTTATTTTTTTTCAAGCACAAAAAGTCGTTTCTTATATTTTCTTTACAGACTTGCACTGACTCACAAATCTTTCTGACACTGATGCTTCAGTTTTCAATGCCTACCTTAATTTGATCGAAATTAAACGTATACGTCGTTGGTTTTCTTTTTTTTTCGTCTTGCTTGCGTTGTCACCTTTGCTTTGCTGCCTTTCAACTTTCGCTTGCTCGTGTCTCCGTGTCTGTCGGAATTATATATATTAATGGCCGACAAGTTCACGTGATTGTAATATGCATATATTAAGATGCGGGTTGCTGATATTATACTGATTTGTTGTCGCTATACTTTACCAATTATTTCTTTTGCAAAAGATAATTAAAAATTTCGCCTTTTCACTGTCGGGAGCGCTTTATTCGTCAAATATACCGTCAGACCCTCATAAATATACCGAAATATACGTCACAAACTGCAAAAAATACCGTAAATATACTGACGAATTAATTGTATTACAGTTCCATCATGTTTCTCCTTTTTGATATTCGGTTGAATATTACTAGCTAGCTAGGACCCTCAGCCCTGAACACATAATTTTATCCCGTTCATAAATCAATTTCCTATAAGACTGGTAAACTTAAAAATCTGATCTTTATTGGATTGTTTATAAAATAAGGTTTAAACAGATACGCTCAACTATGATTTCCACTAAATTAATTTAGCTAGACAGTTGGTACATATTAACTACATTTGTATGTAATTAACAAAAGCGTCACCTGAAGTGCACGTTTGTTGACAAGTTTGGCCGTTTTTTTTCCATATAAGCCCCATGGAAGCGCCAGTGTGAAACCACTTTTTGACATGCCTTTTTTTTTTGTATTCGATGTGGCCTGGGATTTCCATACTAATGCTTTGGTCCATAAAGCATCTTAAAAAATATTGGAAAATACTGGAAAACACTATGCAAGCTGTGTGAGCTAGACTTTCAGAAATATACCATCTCATTTGCGAAATATACCGTAAATCTACCTATGAAAACAAAACAAACAAAACAAACTTAAGCCACCTAACCCCCCTCTGTTTTAATAAGCGAACAGCTTGACTTAAGCCGCGGAAAAAAATACTGCTTGTAAATTCTTCTTCTTAAGTTTCATTTCATCATTTTCATGGGAATTATACGCTTCCGCTAAACGTTCACACTATAGATTGTGTTGTTGTTGTGCCAAATGTGCGCAATTTTTTTGCAATTTTTATTTATTATTTTGAAATCTCGTCGCAGTTCTCGTAACTAAGAAAATGTGAAAGACAAAAGAACGCAGAACTCGTTCAGCCGATGTCTCAACTAGCATAAGATAAAGTGCAATACATACATATAGAATTAGTTCTCATTTAATGTAAGGACAACGGTTTCGTTATAAATAAACACAAATGTAAGTATTAGTGTGTGGCGTTTGTTCGTACGTATACAGGTTGCAGGTGCAAATGCACTGGTATTGTGCAGTATAATTGTTCTACTAGTGCCAAAATTCTAAAATATAATTAATTTACTTGTTTTGCTTGCACTCCAGCCCGTTCCCCCTTGTGTGCATACGTGGTTGTGTGGTTGTTTTCCACCCCGATTTTCTGTGTGTGTTTCTCTTTTAATAAACTCAAGGCATTGTGACTCAAGAGCGAACACACAAACGCTCCAAGTTCATTCACTTGTATCTGTTGTTATGCTTAAGCACATTATCCGCACATCCATCCAGGCTTCCACTCGGGATTCTCGGCTATGACTCACCTGTCGTCGATTTGGCGAGCAATCGACAGATACATAATCTAATCGAAGAGTTAATTGAATAAGTAAATAGTAATAGGCTAGTGTCCGAGTTTGGAGACGAGACATTGAAGAAAGACAGTGCACAGATTCGAACTAGAATTTCCTTTTATGATCGTATGCTTCTGTGTCACGAATTCCGAATCTGTTCGAGTTGATCAAGTTTTTTGGATTTCCTTGACGATCAGCACTCAGAAGGAGTTGTCATGGTCCACGATCGCTGCACGTATCTAATTTCACCATTCTCTGATAGTTCGGAAACTCTGTTCTCTGTTTGTATTTTTTTTGCGATCAAGACCTGTTGATACAAAATGTAGTTGTTTTTGTGTGTATTTTTATAGATAGACTAGGCTATTTTTATAGACCACAATGGACACCGATGTGAATCAGATGCATTACCATTATAAGGATATATTGTCGGTGTTTTTGGACCCCTTCATTGAGGACTTTGACTGCAAGGATGTGGAGGACTCACTGCGTTCGATACTAACCAAAAGGGAAATCGATTTCATCTTTGCATCGGATCAAACGGATGTTAGAATCTACCTTTTGTTTTGGAAATTGCTCGAGAAGCCAGAGAGCATCGTTAAAAGATTCGTCGAGGAGGTTCTCAACTATCGCGATGGGGCCAACTACGAATTCCTGATGACGCCCATCAAAGCCGAGTACCTACAGCCGAGCCCCAACACCAGGCTGTACGTAGAGCAGCGGGATCGTCTGTTCAATGACAATCAAGTGTTTTCCAAGTACAATGTGCCGCGACTAAAACCGGTAAGATATTGGCACTAATGAAATATTTAAAATTAATTTTTATTTATATGTATGTACGTTCTGTGGACAGTTCCTCGACTTAACCAAGGCCCTGCTGGAGTTGAGGCCAGCCAAGAATGTCCTGGTCGATGGCCCCCTGGGCGCCGGCAAGCAATGGCTAGTGCTCGACGTTTGCTCCTCGTACAAAGTGCAGCAGAAGATGGATTTTAAGATATTCTGGCTGAATGTGAAGAACTGCAACAGCCCCGAGGCAGACCTCGAAATGCTGCTCACTCTGCTCTACCAGATCGATCCGAGCTGGAGCAGCCGATGCGACTCCGGCACCTGGAACATCATGCAGCGTATTGACAGCGTCAAAATTGAACTCCGGCGCCTGCTCAAGAGCAAGCCATACGAGAACTGCCTGCTGGTGCTGCGAAATGTGCAGAGCGTTCGCACCTGGAAGGCGTTCAATCTCGGCTGCAAGATACTCCTGACCACTCGCTACAAGTGCGTTACCGATTACCTGTCCGCGGCGACCACCAAGCATGTGCCGCTGAAGGATGCCCTCACCGAGCACGAGGCTGAGTCGCTAATTGTCAAGTACCTTCACTGCAGGCCAGAGGATCTGCCCAGGGAAGTTCTGACGACAAATCCACGCAGCCTGAGCATTATTGCCGAGAGTATACGCGACGGCCTGGCCACTTGGGAGAATTGGAAAGAGTGAGTACATGAATATAGGGGAAATCTTAGCCACAACTCTTAAATCTGTTCTTTTTCATCCCAGTGTGAACTGCAATAAACTCACGAGCATTATCGAGAGCTCACTGAAGGTGCTGGAGCCGGTTATAAATAGGAATATGTTCGATAAGCTCTTCATATTCCCTCCGTCCGCCCACATACCAATCGATGTAAGTGCCTCGATTAGCTCATTGCCAATTAAATATCTTATCTTTAATGTTATTTTCGAATGTAGCTCCTATCTCTGGTTTGGTCAGACGATAAATCAGATAGCGACGATCCGATGGTGGTGGTGAATAAGCTGCACCGGTACTCCTTGGTGGAAAAGCAGGCCCATCCGTCGACCATAAGTATACCCACGATATACTTGGAGTTGAAACTGAGGGTGACTAACGCTGCTGCACTCCACAGGAGAATCGTTGATCATTACAAGTAGGTGTTATACTATATATACTGCCCGATTTCCTTCGAGAGGCATTTACAATTCAAATTTCTTTCTTCCTCTTGCGGCAGCATCACAAAGGCTTTCGACGATGATGACGATCTGACAGTGCCCTTCTTGGATGGCTATTTCTATTGCCATATCGGCCACCATCTGACCAATTTGGAGCACTCCGAGAGCGTGGCTCTATTCCGCAAGATTTTCCTCGATTTTCGATTTCTTGAACAAAAGATACGATACGACAAGACAGCGTGGAATGCCAGCGGATCGATACTCAACACTTTACAGCAGCTTAAATTCTACAGCTCCTACATTATTGGTATGCATTCGCCATTCGATCGTAAACTAGTAAAAAACTAACTTGGTGCTGCCATCTAGACAATGATCCAAAGTTTAAGCGCCTGGTGAATGCTTTGCTGGATTTCCTTCCAAAGATTGAGGAGAACCTTATACGGTCCAAGTTTACCCGCCTTCTGCGAATCGCTCTGATGGACGAGGAGGAGGCCATTTACGAGGAGGCCCACCGACAAGTGCAGCGGTTCGGTGATCAAGTTTGGTTCACAGAGCAGTACGTAAATGATCTCTTTTTGCAACTGAAATCTAAATTGAATCCGTTTGGCAGTGGTCGCTTTCACCAGCATCGGCAAATTATCAACCTCGGGGAGAATACGGTTCGACACGTCCTGTACCTGAACAATGACTTCTGCTTGATGGCCCTGGACAGCAAACAAATGCTGCTGACCGACGTTTCTCTGGAGGCGGAGGACACGTATCTGCTGAAGGATGACAACGACAGCAGCGACATCCTGAAAATGGCCGTGTTTAATAACCAGAAGCACCTGCTCACGCTTCACAGCAATGGCAGTGTGAAGCTCTGGTCGCTGTGGGCCGAGTGCTTTGGGCGGCGTCACAGCAGCGGAAGTCGCCAGCGTGTGCGACCGCCACACCTTTCCCATTTGCGGAAATATGCGGCGACTCGTACGTACAAGCAGCTGGTCAACGGCGTCGCCAAGCGCTCAATGAATAGCTACCAGAGAGCGGAACAGAACATTGCAGCGTTCTACTTGAACGAGGAAGCAACCGTTGGAGACTCAAAGATTCAGCTGCATGTGGCCTTCAGCAACGGCGACGTTTGCATCTGTGAGTGGGATGACAGGGACCAAGTGTTTAAGTCCTCCAACACGCCCACCCTCGAGACGCATCCGCTTCGTGTGCGGTGTTTCGTTCAGGTGCTGAACCGCTACTATGTGATATGCACCGCTGACTGCACCCTCACCGTTTGGGATCTGCACAACGGTTCGTGCGACAAGCCAGAGCTCAGTGGCTACGATGTCCATAATGACCCACCGCTTGCGATTGAAGTCTACAATGAACGTAGCCAGCATTCGAACCTGCTGCTCATCCACAGGTACAGCGTGTGGCGGCTGACGTTCGAACCTGGCGACTGTCAACAGCCTCAAGTCCGGCTCAAGTCGGAGCCTGTGCAGCTGCCGGACATGAGCTTCATTACCTGCGCTAAGGGATCGCCAGATGGTCGCTATCTGATCCTGGGAACATCGGTTGGCCTCATTGTGTATGACATCCAGCTGTCCAGTCCCGTGCTGCGCAGCAATGTGAGCGAGCACATCGAATGCGTGGACATCTACGAGCTGTGCGATCCTATTTACAAGTACAT